CTTCTCTTCTTCACTCATCTTATGTCTCTTTGCTAAAGTAAGAATTATCTCTCTTTTCTTTTGATTCCTTAAGTTTTCAAGGTTTGTTTATTTGTTAAAGTTTTGGATTTTGATGAGGAAATGATGTTTATGGTTGCTTTTGAGGGGGGAAACATGTGGGTTTGTATATATGATGGGTACATTGTGTTTTGGAATGAAGAAACCTTCCAATTTCAAGTTTTGCAAAAATCTAGGTTTTCAAATTTGGTGATTTTCGAAAAATGATGGTATATGGTTAAATTGATCTTGAGGTGATGTTGTATAAGTTGTTAATGGATGAAGAAATGAGATTGAACTCATTTCCTTTTGGAGAAAGAAAGAGGGATTGAACAAATTCCTCTCTTTGCTGATGTTTTAGCTTCTTTAATGGAGGAAATCTAGTTTTATTTTATGTAAATTGATAGTTTAATGAAAACTGTAACAGCCCGTTACGTACCGGTATTGTTAACATTAATTATGATATTAAGCGCAGTTACAATCACGGCAGTTCATTTATAAAACGCGAATAAATTTTTTCCGATTATTACGCGAGCATTTAAAACATAAAAAGACGTAATAATTAAAAGCTGTGACAGTAATCGTAAACTCTTGCGGAAGACTTATTTAAACTATTTTTATCACTTACGTTACTTATTATAAGTTACTAAGGAGTTCCCATAAACTCACTTAGCCAATTTCCAACTTTACGTTTTTTACCAATTCGAACATGTTTCACTCTAAGTTTTTCTGCGACCAAACCGATCGCAACCAACCCTTCTTCTCAGATTATATTTTTGTATTACTTAATTCCCTTTCTAACAAGCTATCATACGCTCAATACGGAGCTCATTTGCTCCGGTTATCGCCGTTTGAAGTTGGATAATCAATTAGCCCAAACAACCCCAAAAACAGCTCCAAACCACTCACATTGCTCGAATTACTGCACTCAATCGACTCAACCATTTGCTCTCAAATTTTTATCCTACAAACTAGACATCTCAAACTTCATTTTGATATATCACACGCTTAATTTGGCGGAGAAACGAAGCGGGAATTAATTTCCTAAATCCGGTCTAGAATCTGCCTCAGGTGCAGGGGCACATGGGCAGTCATGTTTCTCTATTTTTTTCAGGCCGAAGATCAACCCAGAATTTCCTCAAATTTTGACACAAGGTAGAGGACATCTCAACCTTCAAAATGGCGTATGGCACATCCCTAGGGGACCTCTATGGAGGAAGATATGCTCTCCCGAAGTTCGCCTAAAATCTGCCAATTCTACCGAAAATTCGCCAGAGTTTCCTTTGTTTTTCCAATAATCCCAAATTTGTAAAAGATCATTTAAACCTCAAATGTACCTAATAAACACATGATAATACAGTAATAATCCAATGGGTGGCACACACAAGGACCAACAACGCCTTGGGGCACTTACAACTCAATCCAGTTTATAGTTATTAAACATAGAGTCCATATTAATCATTCCTAAGTAGTTGCAATCACTAACACATTTTTCATGCATATTTCCATCATACATATTATCATAACCTAAAATAGGCCTAAGTCCCTTCCATCATAAATAGACATGCATCAATACTATTACAATATGGCTTTACAAATCACAACTTGAAACTAAAACTTCAAATTACATTCTTCTAAAATTACATCTTAAATTTAAAAGACAACATAACCAAATACATCACTACTAGACTTAGGCAAAATGGCATGAACAAGATGCTAATGAAGCTACTAATAAATACAAATGACATGTTCATGCCCTAAGTCTAGCCTAGGCCACACGGCCAACAAAATGCAAAATATGAAGCGCTCCAGCGCTCACTCTGCGGGCCTCTTGCCCGAGGCTCCTGCTCCACTGCTACCTCCTGAAATAAATGCCCCGAGACGGGGTGAGATATACGAATATATCTCAGTAACCAAGAGGTTCTGGAGAAAACTCCACCCAATGGTTCACTTCGATGCATATCAATAGAATACAACAACCACTTTGAAAACGGGATATAGCAAGGGATTTAGAGAATGGGGAATATAAAGAAAACAAAATACGACGATACGGGATGGTAACCCCAATTCCACGTACGCCCTCGGCATATATAAGCCTATGGGTATCATCCAAGGTGTGTTCACAGAAACCACAACCATGATGCCCAAACCAACCAAAATGCCAAAGACATTCCTAGTGTGCTCCTACCCGGATCACAAACCATGACACGCAGTCAACTGGAACTCCCTCCTGGAGACCTATCCAGCGGAAGTCCGAAAATGCCCGAAGGCTAATAAAACTGTCTACTGGCCAGAGACTCGGTACTGCAGTACCCATAGCAATAATGCATGCATGCTCATGTGTTCTATACTATTCATACACACTTCCTACCGTTGCCATCAACTGGCAAGGTGGAACAGAAAAGGGGAACAAGCCCCAGTACCAAGAGGTTACCTGAAATATTGTTTCCACAAGCTCCACAGCAGCTTATCCCTCAACTTGGTACACAGCAGAATGCCTACACAGAGGACATTCCTAATCACTCACAATTCAAACAATACATGCTACTTTACAATTACACATGCATTGAACCAATTACTTACCTCAATCCACTTGGTCCAAGACCAATGGCAACTCACTGAATCAAGATTCAGGATTCAAGTCAACGTACGGCAACCTATACAATTTCGTACATCCATCAGTACGCGTCAAATAGCATCAAAATGCAAAATCACAAAAATCCTCCCCATCCTCCCTTGATGGTTCGACCAATGAAGTGTAAATTTGAGATTTATTTTTCTAAATTTTCTTTCTCATTTTGTTACGTCTCATTAGGTTGTCAATAGGCCAATTCAAGTGCCGGTTCGTCATTTTCGCGTCGGATTACATCAGAACGCGAAAACCGCAAAATCCCCCCTTGGAGGTTCGGCCATATAGGTGTTAATTGGGGATTTATTTTTCTAAATTTTCTTTCTCATTTTAGTACCCATCCTTGGGTTGCCATAAGGCCATTTCAACTGTCGTTTCGCCGTTTTACGTCTTTTAAGCATCGTTTCGCTAAATATTTCGCTCTAGGTTCATTTATGCCAACTAAACCACTTATTATTTTTCCATTGATTCTAACACTTGCCAATCACAACACAACTCATCTAAGCACTATATAACTACACAAATCATCATCCAAATCATTTTTCATCATCAATTTACTCATTTTTCCTCAAAGGTTCGAATCTTGCCCTATGACATTCCAAAGAATTTCCATTCAATTTTAATCACTCCAACCTTCACACAACCTATCATACCATCATGCCACAATTCATCAAACAAGTCTCAACACCAAAATTCACAAGTCCAAAATCATGATCATCAAATTTTTCTAAGTTAAATTCATCAATTTTCACCAATAAATTTCATCGCATTTTTAGCTTTAATACATCATTCTAACACATTATCATCTAATACACATTTTCAAATTGAGCTCTCTAACATCACTATTCATCATATCAAAGTTTAGGTTTTCAAAATCAAATCATCACCATCAACCATTTAAAATGCAAGAACACTCACCCAAATGGAAGGTACAAGGCTCCTCCTAACTATACTCCACCATTGGAGCACTTGGAAGCTCCAAGAACACAAAAATTCCTCCCAAAACCGTGACTGAAATTGGCCAAGATCTCCTCACACACGCGATTTCAAGGTTCAAGAGTGGTACCAATGTGTTTAGGAGGTGTTTTCCAACAAGTTTCAAGACAAAAATCGTTGGATTTGGTTGAGATTTGAGTGAGTTATGATCCAAAGAAAAATTTGCACAAAGAGGAAGGGGGAAGGGGCTGCTGTCGCGGGAAGAAGAGAGGGAGGAGAGAGAAAGTGTGAAAAAAAAGGTGAGTTTGACTCACTTAAGTCACAGGCGGGTCCCACACGCGTTTTAACTTTAATCAATCACCTAATTTCAACCACAAATTCATGACCTACGTATTTTTCTTGTTCATGTCATATTTTTGTTTCCCAAAAATACTGATAAAATTTTCACGCTTATCGGTACAATTACACTGCAGTATTTTTACACCGGAAATCACTATTCATCAATTTTTCTCAAAATGACTCAATTCCATCAAATTTCATCAAATCATATTTCCTAACTCAACAAACCATTTATAACTCATATTTGAAACCTAGAACTCAAAATTCAACTGGCACGTTTTACGGTGCAATCGTACCGCGGTATTTTTACCCGCGAAAAACACTATTCACTGATTTTTCTGAACCAATTTCCAGGGTTATTTTTACCATCTGAGACCTTCTACTCAATTTTTATCTTCCTAGGGTTGCGTGTTGGCTAATTACCGTTTTGCCCTTTCTTTGTATTTTGGCCTAATTTTTATGATTTTCACTAATCCATCACTTGATTGCTCACTTAATATTTTAATTACTTGATTTAAAATTGTGAGGTGTTATAAAAACACTATGTGTTGGAACTAAAGTTAAGATAGAATAAAAGTTATTTTGGTTGTTGGTGAAGTTTTAAGCTTTGTTAAAACGCTAGCCCCTCGCATTTTGGATTAATCAAAGGAATAATGAATTCTTTGGACGTTGTAGGTTCACCTAAACCTTTACATTTAATCTCGGAGTAGATGTTCTGCTTTATAATTTGGTCTGTTATATATGGTCTTTATTGGGTGAGGGTTTATGGTGTTCTTATGCCTTAATTTCTTTAATGCTACGAATCTACATTAATTGGAGATATGGTCTTGTGCCCTCGGTGTCTGAAATTACAAGAATCTTAATCTATCTTTAATCTTTCATTGTTTAACATAAACAAGCTCAAACTGGCTCAATGGACAGTGTAGTTGACTCTCTAAATAATGCCTATTCTTGTACCTTAATTTCTTAAGTCTTGATTGCCCTCAGTATCTGAAATTACAAGAATCTTAATCTATCTTAATCTTTTGTTGTTTAACATAAACAGGCTCAAACTGGCTCAATGGACAGCGTAGTTGACTCTCTAAATAATGCTTATCAAGATTTTATTGCTGCTGCGCAAATGTGCTAGAATGCAAAGAAAATGCTGGTGCCCAAGATTTTATTGCTGCAGCACCAAATGTGCCAGAGTGCAAAGGAAATGCTGGTGCCCTTAAAACAACATCAACCGATACTGCTCTAGGCAAATGTGCTAGAGTGCAAAAGAAATGTTGGTGCCCTTAAAACAACAACAACAGATACTGCTCTAGAAAAGTTCAAGCAGAAGTGGGAAGTGTTATCCCACAAACAAACAACTAACGTTTCTCGATATTATCAATGTCAACGTCTCAAAATAGTAAAGGGATACAAATTGATGCCTCGATTGTGTCGTGCAAGCATGGTAAGAAGTAGATTGTTGCCGGTCTTTTTATACTGTGTTCTTTTAGGACTGCTAACATATGTGACCTGGATCAATTTCTTGAGCACTATAATTGACTTATTAGAATAGATCCTTAACAACTCGTTTACTAACTATCTTTATGCATTGAGTACTGTGGTGTATCATATTAAATCTTCTTTATGAATGATTGATTGATTGATGCTGTTTCTATAAGCATTGAAGTTCATATTGTCTGAGAAATTGATTGATGCTGTATTTCTAATTTCTTTTTTGGTTCATTAGATACATCCATTGGTAGAATTAGAAGTTTCACCTTGAAAAGGTAAAACCAAATGCAAAGTAAGATCATACTGTAAACAAACAGCCTTACTTACACAATGAATACCTTCAGCTAAATCTGGCATTGTATGTTAAATCAACTTTTTACTGACTCTTATAAGATTGATTTGGCAGATGACCACGACAATAGCAAGTGAAGATGTTCATAGGGAGGAGGTGAAGCTATTAAAAGCTCTGTCTGGCCGTAAGCATCGCATCAAATTCCATGATGCTTGTGAGGATGCCAATAAGGTGACGTAGTTGTGGTGTTTGCTTGCACATCTGAGGATATAAATAACCTTGCCCATGCTAATGGATTCTGTCATGGATGGAACAACTAAAGCTTCGTGTCGTATTGCTAAAGATAATACTCATTTTGTGATGGATATTGCTAAAGATAATACTCATTTTGTGATGGATGGAACAACTAAAGCTTTATGTCGCGTTGCTAAAGATAATACTCATATCGCGATGGTTTCTCGCACTCATGGGCAATTGGTGCATTGGTTGAGGATATAAGAATCAACTTTGAAGTTAAGTGACAATTAATTTGTTCTTTTAACTTTGAACTCGTGCTGTGTGAAAGATGGTAGACAAATACTTTTTTCTTGCAATTTATTAGCATTATTGTACTTGCACTTTATTAGTTGCTAGATTTTCATTGAATTTTGCAATTTTTTTGCACTATTCTCCGGTTAGCTTCACTAACAAATTTGGGAAAGGAAATGAGATATTTTCTGTGAGATTAAGCAGATAATGGAAGACACTATCTCAGGTTGAGGTATTGGGGAAATTTGATGCTGCAGCAAGCATGTGCATTGTAATTTCCAATTGCACATCAAATTTCCCCAATATCTCAACCTGAGATAGTGTCTTCCATTCTCTGCTTAATATCACAACAAATATCCTATTTTCTTTCCCAAATTCGTTAGTGAAGCTGACCGGAGAATAGTGCAGAAAAATTGCAAAGTTCAATGAAAATCTAACAACTAATAAAATGCAAGTAGAATAATGCTAATGAATTGCAAGAAAAAAGGATTTGTCTACCATCTTTCACACAGCAGGAGTTCGAAAGTTAAAAAAACAAATTGTTTGTCACTTAACTTCAAAGTTGATTATTATATACTCAACCAATGCACAAATTGTACATGAGTGCGAGAAAGCATCACGATATGAGTATTATCTTTAGCAATGCGACACAAAGCTTTAGTTGTTTCATCCATGACAGAATGAGTATTATCTTTAGCATATAAACAAACCTTGAAAACTTAAGGAAAAGAGAGATGATTCTTACTTTAGCAAAGAGATATAAGATGAGAGAAGTTGAAAGGATCAAAAGTCCTCCCCCTTGGATGAACTCACGGTCAACAAGGAGAGTTTGGTCTTGAAAATGAAAAAGAGAGATAGAGAAGTGTTTTACGGGAGAAGGAAAAGTGATTGGTTTGTAATAAAAGGCACTTCTTTGGAATTAAAAGAATTTTCTTTCCCACAATTTTACAATACATTTTATCTCTCAAAACAACAATAATTAAACTCATAATTACTCTTAAATAAATTCAAGAGAAAAGTTCAAAGATTCCCTTGTAATTTCACTTAGAATCAAAAACTCTTTTATGCTTTATTTTTTATCAGTTACCCTCTGTAACACTGAATCAATTTCTCCCGATGTTTTATTTCTTATTAATTATTCCTTGTGCTTTCTCATTTAATCAGTTACCCCCCGCTCATTTGCAAAAAGTTTATTCTATCCTTTTTATAAAAATATTTTAAAATTACTTTTTTATAACCAATTTTATTTTTTTCAAGAAAAGCTTTAACTACTTTTCAAAAATATATATATATATATATATATATATATATATATATATATATAGTGTAAGTAAATATATTTTAAATTTATTGAATACCTAAAACGAAATTAATGTTAAGTTTTAATTAAACTTCTCCAGAACAAAAATTAAATTTGTGAAATATTTAAAAAAAAAAGCTAAGTTTTATTTTTTTTTAAATGTTTCTAAAATTTCATTTCATAATTATTGATGCAAAAACTGAATTTAATTATTTTGATAAATTAAAATTTAATTTAATTTTATTGAGCTATTATTGTACTCATATTTTTTTTTACAGCAAATTCGTGTTTAAATTTTGATTTTTTGGGAGAAAATGGTATAAAATGAAGGAATTGTTTCGTTCCATGTCACAACAATATTATTAAACCCGGATCAACCCCTTTGGATGGGTCATGCATTCAACACGCTGCGACTCGTTTGACCTGCCCAATTGATATTGTTGATCAGCCATGTCTGATTAAAAAAAATAAAGAGAAAATATACTCTTACGTGGTAGGAGAGTATTTTTTTTACACGTACATCGATTTTTGTGTTGTCTTTTTTTCTTTTTCTATAAATAAGTGGGTTTCACACATGATTATCTCTATAACATAAGAGAATTTCTCTCCATATTACATGAGATTAATAATGCCCAAAAACAAATCACACACGGCATTATTACAAAAGAGTGAGAGACAAGAACTGAAAAAGCACGATTTAGGAGCAAATGCTAAATCCCTAAATAGATACAGTGGCAGTTTTTTTGACTTCGAGTGTTCTTCGATTCTTCTGCATTGCCGTTGCAGACGTTCTTCGCCGCCGTTGGTGGTCGTGAACTAAACTCTATTTTGTTTTGACATTCATAGTGTTGAGAATGTTTAATATATATATATATATATATATATTCGGATCAACTGATCCGACCAGTGACTCATTACCCGACCTAATCATGTGTTGGTCGATTTTAATAACATTGGATTACATTAAAAAAATGTTACAGAAGACCTATTACTTAATTTTATTAAAAAATTAAGTATTTTTTTTAAAAAAAATCTATTTTTAATGAAAAATCAAATAAACCATACTTTTTTTTACTTTGAAATTTTTTGGAATAATACTTTGAACTAGGTCCCCTACGACTTACTGTATTATTGAATATAGGAAATTCACGACCCTGCAAACCCGTTGTGTTTAGACTTAAATCAAGTCGTTGAAACTTTTTTTGAAATGTAAACTTTAATACTCAAACTATAACTTTATAACTTGCTTCATACAATGTGAAAGGGTTTTTTTTTTTTTTTTTTTTCACTTTGAAAATCTTTGGAATAAAACTTTTCCACCGTTCTCTTTCGAGTCAGGCTTTGTGAAAGCATTTTTTCACTTTGAAAAATTCTGGAATAATATATTTTCACTGTTGTCTTATGTTTAGACTTAACTAAAGTTGTTGAATTTTTTTTTTGAAATGTAAACTTTGATCCTCATGCTATAACTTTATAACTTTCATCTTACATTGGGAAAGAGTTATTTTATTTTTTCACTTCGAATTTTTTTGGAATAAACTTTGAACTAATGTTATGAAAATTGAATCGACTGGCCGGGTTGACCCGAAAATCGATCATGTAACCAGTCTGATTTTCATATTGAACTGACCATGTTATAGACCCGGTGCGACTAGGCTAATTTTTATAAAAACCTGTGACCGAGTCGGTTCAACAGGTGACCCGGTCAGTTCATAAAAAAAACTGGTTTGTTCTCGTCAATTGATGCCTTTTTTTCACTCTCACACACAAATGATTTGTTTTCTTTTGAAATATTTGAGAGATCTGTAGCTTATTAACTTATATAGATTATGTATCTACAACATCAATATTATCTTGGTTATACAACACTAAATTGTAACAGGTGTCAAAGAACAGGAACATCGCAAGGAAACATGAAATGTCGTTGGCTCCTATAATGGAGATTGAGCTCTTTGATGTATGAAGATTGGATTTCATGAGACCTTTTCCACCATCCTCTTGCAGCAAATATATACTTATAGTCATTGACTACGTCTCTAAGTGGGTAGAAGTCATCGCATCGCTCCCCCAACAAGTGATGTTAGTGGTGGCCTCAGATACCTCGACACGTGATTTTTTAAAAAAATTGTGTGCCGAACACGTGTCCGACACGGACACGCTCCGACACGCGTCCGACACACGGTCAACATTTTAGAACACGTGGTTAACTCTTTGACACGCTCTGACACATACTCAATTTTTTCGTCACGTGGTCAACGCTCCGACACATTTTTTTTAATCTTAATTTTATTTTATTAACTAAAAAAAAAAATCATTTATAAATGAATTTTTTTCTATTATGAAATTTGATATAAAAAATGAACAAGGTTCGAATTTTTTTTTATATTTATGTTATGAAATTTGAATATTTGATTAGCTATATGACTTATTATAGACTGTTATATGTATTAAATATAAATTATATTATATATATTAAAAATATTATTTAATATCAAAACGTGTCCCGACGTATCGAAATATGCTATTTTTTAGAATTAACGTGTCGGTGTGTCGTGTCGCATGTCCCGTGTCAGTGTCCGTGCATCATAGGTGGTGGCGATGGCGATAATGATGGGTGTAGGTGATGGTAGTGGTGACGACGTCGACGACACTAGTGGTAGTACGACGACGGCGACGACGATGGTGACGGTGATCGTGTCGGGATGATGGTGGTGATGGTGTTGGACATGGTAGAGGCGGAGAGGGATTGCGAGAGACAATTGTTTCTTATTTTATGCCCGAAAAAAAAAACGTTTGATTCTTTTTTTAATAGCACAAAATTAAACCGTTTCATCCGAGAACAAAAAAAAGATGAAGTGATTTTATCAAACGAATTTTTTATTCATTTCTATTTCTAAGAACATAATTAAAAAAAAAATCCGAAAAATGCACATAGAATAAATGAATTAGTTTAGTGGATCGGTAACAGGCTGTGTTTTTTTTTTTCTTAAAAAAAAATCATTTTGTTAGTCCGGCATTTACATTTTCCAGACTTCCACTTTACTATCTTTGGTAGTGTTTTCTTCTTCTTCTTCTTCTTCTTTTTTTTTTTTTTTTTTTTTTTTTTGTAATTCACTTGCTGGATAACTTGGTTTTGTTACGTCCCTTCGTGGACGTCCGATAAAATTGGAACTTGGTTTTGTTACTCACAATGTGAGATTGAGCTCCCTTCTCTCCCTCACTTAAAAGTTACACAGATTAAATTATTAATCATTAATCATGTCAGATCTGATTGAGAGCCCCAAAAGCATCTAGAACGTACAATCCCTTACGTTTAGTGGGGCCAGGTACTTATAATTCAATTTCAAGTTGTAAATGAAAATGAAAATGAAAATTGGTTGAAAACTGAATATGCTTTGTTCGTATTCATGATCTGAACAGCTGAAATTGGGTGAAAGTTGGAAACTTTGATCGAATGTATCAAAATTTTCAGCACGTCTCATCTCAATGCGAGTCATATATTTACCTACGCATTCTGGGTTTGTTCTCTTCTTCACGGTTTTCACTCTCCGCCTAGTGTCTATAATCACTTAATATCTTTTATTGAACTCTTTTTCTTTCAGAAGGGTTGAGTTTTAGACAAGCGTGGTGAAAGTTGATAACTTGATATAATTATATGAAGGGTTTGATTGGACCTAGCTTGTACAGTTGCTGTAATTGTGGAAACCATGTTGCCCTTCATGACGATGTGATTTCAAAAGCCTTTCAGGTGAATATGTACTCTCAGCTTTAACTCTCTCTTTTTATTTTTTTATTCTATGGTAATGGTTTTAGTTTTGAATTTGATTATTGACATCATGATCAAACAAGATTAGCAGTTTACTATGATATGCTACGGTTGGATTTGGAAGAGTTTTTGTTTGATTTCAATTGGTTGTTTTAATTACTAGACTATTTCAATCGTTTGTGTGTGGTAGTGTGCCTAATCAAGAACCAACTCATACTGCAACATGAACATGTGGGATTGCTTTTATAAGCATGATAAATCTTTTGGATTTGATTCAACATGTTTGGGCAAATTGGTGATTACAACTTTTGTTTCAGGGAAGAAATGGACGAGCTTTTCTGTTCTCCCATGCAATGAACATTACCGTAGGGCAAAAAGAAGACAGGGAACTCATGACGGGTCTCCACACAGTTGCTGATGTCTACTGTTCTGACTGCAATGTAGTGATTGGTTGGAAATTTGAAAGAGCCTATGACGAAACACAGAAGTACAAAGAAGGCAAGTACATACTTGAGAAGTCTAAAATTGTCAGGGAAAACTGGTAGTGGCAGTAGCTAAAGATTGATCTTATAAATAATCCCAGTGTAGCAGTTGGCGTAGGTGCATATATTCTACATGCTCAATTTGAACATTTGAGTTAAATTCAATTATTGTTATTTGCCGTGTATTCTCTTATCAATTACTATCTGGATATCTTCGTCTTGGAGATTGTTTTTTTTTTATTATAAATTGTGAATGATCATGAGTGAGTTCTACCTGGGAAGCATTGGAGATTTCAATTTTAAAGAAAGTTAACCTCCTACCAAACATAATCAACTTGGAAACCCATCTCAACTTTCCTGGGCATCCAAAAAAAACTAAAAAAATGACCAAACTAAAAAAACAAAAAGCATACTTGATCAGCTTCAAGCGCAACCCTATATGCAGCACCTTGCTCCTCCCTTAAGCGCATATTATTTCTTCTTTCTTCTGCATCAATTCTTAATGCAACAAGTACTGGCAAACTTTCTTCGAGCTCTTTTTTTAGTATCACTATCATCTCCTTGAGAGATTTTGGACCTTCAACCTGGATTACAAATAGATTGACCATATAAAGCATCTTAATCAGAATGCTTTATTAGCTGCAATACTTGGCACATCATTTGAATAAGACAATGAAGAACTTGAACTCAATATCAATGACATAAAAATAGTCTTTAAAGAAAAATGTACTAATGGAATCGAACCTATATACCTTTAACTTTGAGGTCATTTGTGGCATAACCAGTTGACACCACCAATCACAATCTCCCTCATAAGCCCAGGTATTTCATACCAACTGACCAGGAAAAAAATATTTTCAAGTGACACAGAACAAAGTCAAGCAACTTGAAAAATACAACAACAACAACAATCAAGCCTTATACCACTAGGTGGGATCAGCTAAATGGATGAAACTCAGCTTCAAGGTATTGAACCAAAACTTATTCCATACAAAAAGGGAATTTTCATCTAGCCAACATCAGTTCTGGCAATAGTAAAGGAAAATATACTTAACCTAAGAAAGTATTTCTCATGGTGATTACTGCGATCTATTGCTCTAGCATTGGAAATCAAATTCTATTCGATAAAAAAATGGAATTCATGCAGATCATTCAATTCAGCTTCACAACAACCTCAATGCTATTGCTACTATAATCCGATATCATACCAGAACAATATGGGAAAGTGGTTATCCCAAGAAAAGGATTCTGCAAAGAATATTTCTTTCACTGTCGTTGTTTGCATTTATTATGACTGACAAGAAAGATGACCAAACAACACCTAAAGTGACAAAACCCTTTAACTGGAGAAATTTTTTTTACCAAAGAAATATAATTACTAGGAATATGGTGGGAAAGTGAATTTGGTAGAAAAGTTAAAAAAAAGTTGTTTGGTTAGGCGAAATATTAACAGGAAAATTGGGTTAAATTTTCTAAATGTATGTTTGGTTGAAGGTAACATATTGATGGAAAAATGGGTTAATCATACGTCTGTCTTGGTCATCTGTTGAACCAACGTTAATATCTCTGTTTCCATATCTCTGTCTTTCTCTTTACAGGTGATTGATCATACCACACACAACTTTAAGAAGGTCAATGGAGTGCTCTTTTTAATCGAAGAATAATTTTAGGGCCTTATTACAGTTTCCAGCTTTCCAATTGATTCTGCATAATGTATATAGTTAAATGGTATGTTATGTATGTAATTTGTGGAAGCTTCCACGTTGTGATAGTTTGGTGCCACCAGTCAAATTTTCCATTTTAAATTTTTATGAAACTTGTATTTGAGATAATTATCATTTCGCATAAAGTACTGAAGTTTACCAATTTTCCCTTTTCGTTATTTGCATTTTTCTATGCTTTCAAAATGAAATATGTAATGCGTATAGAATTTATATAGAACCAGAAAACATCAATATCGGCTATTATTAAAGAGTGAAAGATAGGAACAATAAGAAAGGGAGTTACAACTGTAAATGAGAAGGTTCACAAGATGGGAGATCTGTAAAAGATGGAGGTAATTTTCGTCAAGAAATTGGAGCTCAACTTTTCACTTCCTCAGTCATCACATAATACCACAAGCAAAGTGGTATTTTGAAACAGTAATTTTCATCACATTTTTCACACAATTAACCCTTCCTAGGCATCCTATTTTACTAGGGAAGTTTTTGACAAACTTATACCAAACATGATAAATTTGATACGCACTCACACTTCTCCATCAATCCCAAAATAAACCTCCTACCAAACATAGCTTATATGAGATAAAATTACAGAAAATTTTGAAAAAAATTATATTATAAAAGAAAAATAAAATTTTTAACCCTATATTTTTTTTCGAAATATCAAAACAACTTATTGTGGGGTTTGAGAAAATAACTTTATCTCCTTGACAGTGAAATATTTTTCCCCTTATTTTAAACATTCCTTTAATGTTTATTTTCCAAAAAATGTTAAATTAATCCAATTTAATTTGGTAAAGGAGCGAAAATTTATCGTAATATAATATAAATTTAATATTTCTATTATCACATGATATAAAATTGAGTTTAATATTTCTATTTCTGTTACAGATAAAAATTTTCTGTCATATTCACATAAAAATGAGTAGGTTCTATTAGTTTTTTTTCTCTCTTATTTTTACAACAAGACCACTCATTTTTATGTGATTGTGACATAATTTTTTTTCTATGATAAAAACATTTTTCCCTATAAAATTATCTTGTGCAAGGAGGTCATTTTAGATTTGAGAAAACAAATATATAGAGCGATCTGAAAAAAATCACATATGGACCCAAAAGAAAGAAGAAAAAGTCCCTAGCGCCCTATATTATTACATATAATATTTAGAACCCAAAACCTATTTTAATTAATTTCGGAACTGGACAGAGCTTGAGCACTAGGAGATAAAAAAAAATTGCTCAGCTTTGGTAATTTGGAAATAACCCGAACCAAACGCCCCTTCAACAGTTACACATGACCGATGAAACAAATGGCGCTGATATAATTAGCTCTTCATCTACGATTTCCCACTCTCTAAAACCCCTCATTCCCGATCTAAGCTCTATTGCCCCCAATTTTGCAGATTCGACCGATCTGATATCAGGTTTTGCCATTTCCTTTTCATTTATCATAATTTTCTTTCCGATTTCTAGCAGCTGTGATCATTTCGATTTACTGGATTGCATGCTCGTGTTAATCTCCTTGATCTTTTTTCACTTTTCTGGAACATTGCAATGATTTTTTGAATCCGTGTTTCTTGTAGATTTGGATCCCTCTTTTGGTATTAGTTTGATAATAATCTGTTGAAGGAGAACTCGGATTAGTAGAAGTTAGAGCTTGGATTTCATTTGATTCAGTAATGGCTGCTCCTGTGCCTCCAGGGGCACCTAGACCCGGCAATAACACACCACAGCCACCTCCTCCTAATTACATGCCTAATTTTAGGGGTACACCAGATGCACTAGCTGATAATATGCACAATTTGAATCTCAATCGGCCTCCTATGACCTCAAATCCTGCTTCTAGACCTCCCCCCTTTGGCCAACCAGCGCCTTTTCCTTCTTCAGCCCCTATGCCTGGAGTCCCTGGTTCCTCACCTCCATTTTCTCGACCTGGTCCACCTCCAGGAACATTGGCTAGGCCTACAGGGCCTCCTTCTGGACATCCGCTATCTACCTTACCACCAAATGTGGCCCCTGGAAGGCCTACTGGGCCACCGCCTGGTCAACCTCCAGCTTTTGGTTCCAGACTCGCTCCTAGTTCTTTTTCATCATCTGTGGGTAATCTTGCAGCACCTGTTTCTGGGGTTCCTCCCCCTGGTGGTTCTCCACCAGCCCGTCCACTTGCGCCTCCTCCACCAACTATGGGTGCTCGTCCAAGTCAAAGTCCTTTCACTTCACCACCAATGAGTGCTCATCCTGTCATGCCCCCTACAAGTGCACCCACTAACTTGATGAATAATGGGCCCCCAGTATTTTCTGCCGGGGCTTTGTCAGGTCCCCAACGCTTTCCTCCGGTTGGTAGTGTGCCACAACCGCCAGTTGGACCTCCAACAATGAGAACTCCTCCGGGCCCGGCCGTTCAACCTCAGCCCCCGTATCCCATGGCATCTCTAGGAATAATGCAGCCTCCAAGTTCACCTTTTGGAGCACCTTCTTGGCAGATGCAACAACCCCAGCAGGTAGTTCTTTTCTTTATCTGAACTTTATTGTATTTGAATGTCTTTTTATCCAACAAATTTTAGCCACAACTTTTTGCTGAATGAGTTGATAAAAATAATGTAACCTACTCTTATACCATTATGTATAAGGAATAAATTTTTTTTTTTTGTATGTCTAAAGAAAATAATTTCGACAGCTGCATGGTCTTAGCTCAAGTTGATGTTTGTAAGCTTGAGCTATTGAACCAAAAACAGATTTTATTTTTTATTTTTTATTTTTTAATTATGTCTCTTATGTCAAACAGGAAAAATGACTGTAAGATTTCATTAATTTATGCATTTATAAACAAGGGTGTTATCTGTATGCATTGCCCAGCAAAGTTGGCAATGACGTTGCTTGTTTGGTTGAAAGAGGCTTCAGAGGAGATGGGAAGTTTCTTATGTTTGGTCTCAGAAGGGGAAGTATTAAATTGTGGTTCTATAGTTCATTTGTCCGTAGAGATGGTTCATTGAAATATTTTATTTGATTTTAAAAGTAGAGAATTTTTTATGAGCATAAGGTGCCCTTTTTAAAATAATTTTTGAGCTACAAAGAGACGTGAGGGAGATTAAGAACAGGTATTCGAAATTTAATACAGTCAGAAAATTATAAACCTTAAAAGTAGACATATTTAAAATCATTGAGGTTATCCTGAGCATATTGATCAAGTCATAGCATCACTTGGTAATTATAGATACTGCTCCTAATTCAACAAACAAAAGACCATTTTAACTATGGAGTATTAAATAAGGTCTTCAGTACCATGTAAAATTACATCAATGTGATTTTATCTTTTTCAAAAAAAGTTGAAGAAAGTAAAAAGTAAATAAATAGGAGAAGATATTTTCTTATTACAGCAAATGATGAGTAATCCCCATACAATCACCCTACAAATGCCAGAAATAAAACAGTCCCATTTCAATGAATGGAAAAAGTCCTGCTTTAAAGTTATTGCATTTGCCTCTACCTGTTAGAGCAAAGTCAGCAAACTATAAATGTAAATGCTTGTTTTGTGCATATCTTGCACATAATATGACCGAAACATCCAAAATTTGGAACCTTTGAAGCACTGCTAAGCATTTTATGTCTCTCTTTCATACTAATCATCTTCTTTTATTCTTTGCTATTGAATTTCCAGCAAGTGCAGTGCTTGTGAATGCTTGAAGCAAGCACTTGTTAGTTGTATAACTTTTCTACTTTTGCACAAGGTCTTGGTTTTAAAGCACGGACATAGTATGGTATGCCCTTTCTGTTGTGTGACATAGCTCTTATAATCTATGCCTCAGGCATGGTTTGGTATAGTGGTGTCTGAAAAATATAAACCATAACCCAAAAAATGAAAAGCTATGGTTAAGCAGTTATTTAATTTTTCAAAGTTCCCTTGTTCTCTGTCTATTCTGTAACATATGTATCAAGACAGTATGTAAATTATTCTGTAATTAACTAATTATCTTATGTTGTTTATGAATGGGCCTTTGGCCGTGGTAAACACCTCATTTGTATAGTTGTCGGTGTGTACTCTTTAAATGTTCTTAATATCTTACCATATCAAATACTCAAATTGTGATGTAATATGTCCTATATGCATTTATTCATCTTTTGAAAATCAATCTGGATTCTGAATATTTGGAATTCCGTAGTTGGCACCACCTCCTCCAGTTCCTGGTCCTTCACAGACTCCTCGGATGTTTAGCATGCCACCGCCACTTCCCAATCAATCTATGACTACTACTATATCACCTGCTGTTGGTCAAACTGGAGCCCCTATGGCAGGGCCTTCCAAAATTGATCCCAATCAAATTCCAAGGCCCACTCCAGGTTCATCAGTAATCTTGCATGAAACTCGTCAAGGCAATCAGGCAACCATTCCTCCGGTATTCATCTGAAAATTATTGATAATTGGTTTATTTAATATAAACTATAGAGAGAAATGGATTTGTGTTGAAACTGAGGCTTGCTAAATGTGCTTGCATTTTCTTGGTCTCTGGTATTATTAATCATTCAATCATAAAGTTTCCTTTTCTCCATTGTTATCTATTTCCATTTGTATTATTCCCCTTTCAAAATCTTTTAAAATCTGTAGTTTCATAGCCAATGCGATGTCGTACATTTTTTGGAAAGTCACATATATATTGCATTAATCACTATTGCTGTTTGTTCTGATTTTTATTGTCCAGCCTGCTACAAGTGATTACATTGTAAGAGATATGGGGAATTGCAGTCCACGTTACATGAAGTGCACAATCAATCAGGTAATGTTTAACATTTGCAATATATTTTTGGCCTTGAATAAGGTCATGAGAAATGTTAGTATTTAGATAAGTTCTCGCTCATATCACTTGTTTGTATAGAGTTGTACTTGTGACTTCTATATTGTGGTTACTGGTCACCTGAATGTTACTTTTGTCGGACTGATGGTCTCATATGCAGAGGGATTGAAGGGTTTTATTTTTATTATTTTTGCTTAAGAAGATAAATCGTTCTCTTGCTCTGTATTCTTCTCTTTCTAAAAAAATTTACTTATATTTAAAGTAACCTTCAGAGGTTGGTTACTTCAATTATGAAAATATTGAGATTTCTGTCATTTCATATTGATTTTCTTTCATTTGCTTTGTTCTTTTTGTTGAATGAAACAGATTCCTTTCACTGCTGATCTTTTGGCAACATCAGGAATGCAGTTGGCTATGTTAGTCCAGCCTTTGGCCCTTCCACATTCATCTGAGGAGCCCATCCAAGTACCAATGATTATTTCTTTCTTTTAAGTTTCTGCATCTGCGATTATTTTTTGTTCAAGTGCTAGTTGTAGAAGTTTCTGTATCTGTGCTTATTCTTCTAAATATTTGAATTAGGGAGCCTGTAGTTTAATAGGGTAATTTGTATACATTTCACATGTTATTATGTTAACCAAGTAATGAAAAGTTAGGACTTTGCTTTATCTTTTGTCAAATATTTGATTGCCTGCTAGCTATTTGTGGCATATCTGCTTGGGGAGAACATCCACGCCATTTTTAGGATTCTTGAACTAACAATCTTTGGAATTCTTTGTGCATTTTGTATCTTGCTGTTTCTTTCTTATATTTGCTAGTATTTCCGTAGGGAATGTTAAAAAAAGTTCTCTTCTTTTAAGGTTCTGCAACTGTTTATATATTCTAACAAAATTAGTGACTGTTGTCGAGTCCATAACTACTGTCTTCAACTCATATTTTGTATAGCTGTAGTGGTGGATAAAACTATATTACAATGTTTGGCTAAATAACTAATGTAACAGGTTGTTGATTTTGGGGAGAGTGGTCCTGTCCGTTGCTCACGTTGCAAGGCTTACATAAATCCCTTCATGAAATTCATTGATCAGGGAAGGCGTTTCATTTGCAACTTGTGTGGTTAGTACTAGTAATATCTCCCTGAATTGTTCATCCTACTATTGTTTGTTGGTATGTACTATGGAACTTGTCAATGGTGTGGTGTGGGGAAATATAAAGCTTTATTTTGTCTTTGACAGGCAAAGTTAGTTAGTGGTTGGTTTGTGTTAGAAATGAAGAAAACTCCTCCTCATCAAACCCCGACTAGCGAGGGTGGGGTGAGGACAATTTTTGTACATTGTCTTACCCTTACATATTTGCATTACTTTTTTCCTTTCTATAATTCAGTATCTTGTATTAGGAGGATTTCCACTTTGCTTTCATGTTCAGTGTATTGTTTACGTCTTTCAATATATAGAAAATCCATAAGCTGTGTCTGGGCCAAAAGCTTCTCTGAGTTCCTTAAGTTTCCTTACCTCTGATCCAATTGTATCAAACTGTTTCCTGGATTTGAACCCGTGACATTTCAGTCACAAGGGAATAGCTTTCCTTGGTTTATGTTAGAAATATAATATAAAAATCATTAATATGTCTTCACTTATCAACTTAAGGTTTACGAGAGTTGGTTTATGAAAGTTGACAATCATTACTCATATCACAAGTTTGTGCATATGATGGGCCTGTGCATTGTCTGTGCTTCAAGCCCAAAAGGCTTTTATGTGACGGGGCATGTTAGAAATATAATATAAAAGTCAATCATGTGTCTTTTCCTAACAACTTAAGCATATGGGAGAGGTGGTTCATGACAATTGACGATCATTACTCATATAACAAGTTTGTGCATTTGATGCACTAGTTATTTACTGTTTACTTTTAATTGTTACTTATGTAAATTGTCTTTTTTCTTTTTGATAAAAAAATTTCCATTAAGATGAAGAGAAGAAAGTACAAGAAATTGGAGGATAAGCGGTTCACCTTAGGGGATAAAAAGGAAAATAAAATAACAAAGAAAAAGAGAAAACACGAATGTCGCAAAGCTGTCCAGTTATCCTGCATATCTCTGTTAAGGAAATCCCTTTACAAAGAAAACGTGCTTTACTCCAATTAGAAGCCTATCGCATAATCTTATTCCAAATCTGCTACTTAGCCAATGAAATGTCATTAAATAGCATATATTACCCATTGCCATAAAAATTTAACCTCTTTACTTCTACCAAAACCACTAACGCTGGTCCCCAAATATTGGTCAAAGGACTCAGGGCACATCCAGCATTCACCAAAAAGGCTGAACAATCTATTCAATGAAGAACTGCAGAACAACAATGTAAGAACAGATGAAGAACTGATTCTGATCAAATACAGATAACACACATATTAGGGGAAAAACCTTATGTGGTGTGTGAGCCTACAAAATGTCATTCAGCATCACAATTCAACTAAAAGACTTGACCTTAGACTAAAGGGGTTTATTAAGATGGAAAGTACCTCTGACCAACCTTGTGCTTTTTCCAAAAAAAATTTGTCTGGCTCGCTTATAAGTCTCATTATTTTTCTTATGTATGTTGGCTTCTGTATGATAGGACTATTCAATATTTTGCATTTTGTGTCCTGGCCAACCATTTATTTGTAAGTGTATATCTGTTTTACAGGATTTAGTGATGAAACGCCACGGGACTACCACTGCAATTTGGGTCCAGATGGTCGGCGTAGGGATGCTGATGAAAGGCCTGAGCTGTGTAGAGGAACGGTTGAATTTGTTGCCACAAAAGAATTCATGGTTAGTTTGTTTATAACATATACAAGGGCTATATGAAGATGGATTTTTGAGTGTGTATTTCTTTTTTTGGATGTTCATCGTTAGAAGAATATTCAATTTAAATAGTTTGAATGTGCGATATTTATTGAATTGAGATGATATCTAGTCCTTGGTGGTTAAAAGTAAAGACTCTGACCCTCTCCCTCTGAACCTTAAACTCTACTCTAAACACTGTTATTTTAAACTTTTTTATTGCCCTAAGAATCTACATTATGAATGAATGATCATGTCTGGTTGTTTAAATACAATCCTTTACCAAAAAATCTAATTTGAAGGAAAATAAACCAGACATGGATTAAATTGGCACTGCTTGGATGCGTAAACATAAATAAGTGGAATTTAAATGTATGTTAAATTGCTAAATGTATAGCAATAATGACTGCCTAAAAGTTGATATTAGGACCATTGGATGATCCCATTCACGAAGAAGGATTACTCCAGTACTTCATAATAGGATTGATTATATTAGGACCCATTTGCAAGTATGGGACTTGAAGTCTCACATTGGTTGTATGGGAAACTAGTATGAGGTTTATGAGGCCTTGGGCACTCTCACCCTTTGAGCTAGCTTTTGGGGTGGTGCATCCCAAGGTTCTTATCAAATGGTATTAGAGCCTTTCACTATGTCTCCCAGTTACAATCGAGCGGCGCAACTGGTGACGTTGACATTGTAGTGTTCGCCCAGGGCTAGTAAAAAGACTAGCGCAAAGCCAGCCCGCGAGGGCGCTATGGCTGCGGAGCGTGGTGGAATGTTACAATCCTACTCCAAGGTATGGGACTTGGAGTCCCGCATTGGTTATATGGGTGACTAATGTGAGGTTTATATGGACTTTCGGCTCTCCTACCTCCTGAGCTAGCTTTTGGGATAAGGTTCTCGCAAAGTTCGTATCAGAGCACCCACTATGTTTCGCAGATTGGAACTTGGAATTGGAACTTGGGGGTTGGACCCTTGGACTTAGAACCCTGGGCTTGAGCTGGGAAGCATGGTGGAATGTTATGACCCATTTGCAAGGTATGGGACTTGAAGTCCCACATTGATTTTATGGGCAACTAATGTAAGGTTTATAAATCCTTGGGCACTCCCATCCTTTAAGCTAGCTTTTGGGATAGTGCATCCCAAGGTTCTTATTAGATTATTCTAGAGGTTAGTGGGTTCTTCATAAATAAGACAATTCCACTAGTTTTTCCTAGTAAAATTCCCTTAACTTATTTCCCATGGCTTAAGAAGAAATTGGTTTTCTTCAAGGATTTAAGTTTTCCACTTGTAACAAGTAATAGGGAATGTTTTAGGGTTTTAAGTTTTCCACTTATTTCCATGTTGTATTTTATCTCCTACACACACATAAAAGTGTGTGGGACCCATTTTTTTCTCTCTTCTCCTCACACGGCCCCACACACTTTTACGTGTGTGTAGGAGATAAAATTATCTCCTACAACATGAGAAACATTAATCCCTAAAGGGGTGTTTAGTAGAGGGTTTTATTTGAGATTCCTGGGAAAGTGAGGGTGGTAATCGTATTAGCCTATGTTTGGTATGCTCTTTCTAAAATTTTTCCTATGAATGTGATTTTTCCAGGATTTTTATTTGTGAGCAAAATGTGACTGAAAATACCATTCAAGAATACCACCCAGGCGGGTGGTATTCTTGGATTACCAAGTGATGGGAAAATTTCTCAAATATTTTCGAACCAAAATACCCCTCCTCTTTCGCTCTTCTTTTTGCTTGAAGAGGACTCTGCCGGAGTTGTTGGTCTGAGAGACGTTGTCGGCGCTGTCCGGCATGACTTGGAGAGCACCAAGTTGATCGTTGAAGAGGGTATAATGTCAAAGATGTCATAGTAAGAGAGGTTGAAGGGACCAAAGACGTGATTTTTTATTTTGAGAATCTGGGCTTGGCTTGTCGCTACCGGGAACAGCAACAGAATGCTGATGACGGCGGTGATGGCGGTATTTCCCTGGAGCCATGTTAGGGTTGTGGTGGCTGCATTGGAAGCGTTTATTGGGGCGATGTCAGGTAATATAATGTCTCTCTCAATTTATGCAATCCATGCAAAGAAAATGTGAAAATTCAAGGGACCAAGAAACGTTTATTGGGGAGCAAGGGCAAGTGCTGCTTGTATGTCCTCTGACGCATCAGCTCAAGTTCCACCATAGCAGCACGAGGGTTGGTCTTTTGCTTCTCATTGGAAGCCATGTCAAACTAAGCTGAATAAACAAAGGAGAAATTTTTGGAATTAAGGTTAATTTTGTAAATTTGGTCCACATTCCCAGTAATATTTTACAATCAACCAAACATAGTATCAGGAAAATTGGCTCAATATTCCTAGGAATTAAGCCCAAATGACATATAAATAGCCGAAAACCCAAATGAAAACTGTTGAGATATATAGTCCCACATTGGTTGTATGCTATGAAGCACCGATACGTCCAAATTTTTTTTTCCAACGTATCGGACACGCGTCCCAGACGGATACGCTTCCGATACCCATTTTGCCGTATCGATCAGTCAACAAAATTTCGACACGGTCAAATCTCTTGTTTCCGTCGCGCACCAGTAGCCAACTGCCGCGTCACACCACCGCAAACCCACCTCGAGCTCCTCCGCGTCGTTCGCGAACCAGAGCTCCGTGCGAGCCATCTTGCTAGTCAGCTGGTCTTCTTCATCTTCTTGCTGCAACACATCACCATTGTGTTTTTTTTTTCTTTTTATCTTCCTTTCCCAAAACTAGCCGCCGCTTGAGATGGTTGAAGGTTTTCAAGAAAGTAAAGATTAGGTTTAGTGATATGGATATTTTTCTTAAGAGAAAGAGCCCAAGCAAATTTTGTCCATGCAGTTTGTTTCGGTGGGCTTGGTACACAGCCCATTAATCTTGGACTTTTAGCTTCTTTTAAGTAATTATTTGTTGTGGTAAAATATCATAAAATTAAAAAGACAAGTAATTATAATAAAACTAAATAAATAATGCAGAAAATTAAAATAAACAAATACATGACGTGAATGTAAATAATGGGTGCTGGTTAATTTTCATATTTTATACTCATATTTAGTAAATAAACAAATACATAAATAATGTGAAATGTATTCTATATATTAAAAATATTATTTAATACTAAGACGTATCAGAACATATCGATATATTAGTAAATTTGAAGTAACGTATCGAAGTCACGTATCGGGAACGTATCGAAAATGCTGTGTTGGTATCGGTACTTTATAGGTTGTATGAGCAACTAATTTGGAGTTTATAAGGCTTTGGACACTCCCACCCTTTGAGCTAGCATTTGGGGTGGTGTATCCCAAAGTTTTTTAGATGGTATCAGAGCCTCGTGTCCCGGGTTCAAACCTCGCCGCTCCTCACTTTCTTTCTAGTGGAATTTCTTTCTTCGCACAGGTAGGTGGACCTGTGCATTGTCCACCCTTCAAGCCCAGTGGGCTCTCGTGTGAGGGGGCGTGTTGAGATGTATAAAACCATTAATTATAGCCTCACCCAACAGCTTAAACTTTTGGGTTGAATTGGTTCTTTACATGGTATCAGAGCCTCGTGTCCCGGGTTCGATCCTCGCCGCCCCCCACTTTCTCTTTGTGGAATTTCTTAGCACAGGTAGGCTGGGTCTGTTGCATTGTCCACTCTTCAAGCCCAATGGGCTCTCGTATGAGGGGACGTGTTGAGATATATAGTCCCACATTGATTGTATGAGCAGCTAATGTGGAGTTTATAAGGCTTTGGGCACTCCCACCCTTTGAGCTAGCTTTTGGGGTGGTGTATCCCAAAGTTCTTTACAAAAACTTTAAAATTAATCTAGTATTTGAGTTTTAAAAAAATGCTCATAGAATGAAAATATGAAGTTAACAGGTAACAACTTACTAATTTCGTAATATGGTTTATTGAATATTAATCATTCCCAATATCATCACTAAATCAAATATTGAGTCAATTTTGTCTTTAAAGGTTTTTTTTTTTTCTTTCTATTGCTATCTGTTTTATAAATGTCTGTTTACTTGTATTGAGTCAAGTTTATTTTATTTGCTCCTTTTGTATACTGGATTAATAAAGTATGTTCAATTATATGGTTGGCCTAATTTATGTTATGGCCTTAAGCTGATACCCAAAGTAAGCAGTCTATGCTTCGGTCTGGAAATAAGTTGTTTTTTTTCTGTCATTCTTGCTTCTCTAACCCGTTAGTGTCCATGATGACTGATGTGCAATGTTCTCTATTTTCTGTAGGTCCGCGAGCCAATGCCTGCTGTGTACTTCTTTCTCATTGATGTATCCATGAATGCTGTTCAAACTGGTGCAACAGCTGCAGCTTGCAGTGCTATCAGTCAAGTTATTAAGGACCTTCCGGTGAGTTCTAACTGTAGACAACTTAACCAATTTTCTTTTATTCGATTGGATTGAAACTCATTGCTTCATTATACTCCATTTAGATCGGTACGTAAATATCAAGATACAAAATTGGCAAAAACAAATAATAAAATAAAAATTAATGAATTGTTTGAATTGAATGGGTGATGTTAAAAATCAATTTCCTGCTATGTTGGTCCTTACACTTAATTATAATAACGTAACTGTCGTATAATGTCTGTAATTTAGTGACATATTATCTTATTGTATGTGAGGATTTGGTCCTTCGGTATTATGTGAATTTGTGAGGTATATCTTTGATGATCTGGCAACACACAGTCAACGCTGGAAGCTTGTGTGTCCTTGTTCGAATCTGTTTACTGTGCATTCTAGCTACTTAAACACCAATGAGCATATTTGGCATGCAGAAATTACAATAACTTTCCTGCCTCCATTCAATGGGTGAGGATTCCAATGTTTGGTATGAAAGTGAGAATGGTGTGATTCCTGGCAAACAGGAATGAGTTAACATTCATTTTTTCCCCTTATTTATCTTCATTAATTTCAGTCATGATGTGAGGGAGGGCCTTGGAGCTGCGGTAAGGTTGCTCTTTGTGATTAGAATCTCACGAGTTCGAGTCTAAAAAACAGCATCTTGGCAAAAAAAAAAATACAATAACAAGGCTGCGTACAATATACCCTTACTCCTACTCTCATAAGTTGGGGAGCCTTGTTCACCGGGTTTTGCCCATGTTTATAGTCATGATCTCTTTTCATGCACCAAACATGATCTGCAATGTGTATACATTATTATAGAGCTTAAAATTAAATTCTTAATAGGTCTAAATTGAGTGAGTGTGTGGGGGGACTAAAAGCGGGAGAAGTGTGTGTATCAGATCTTTGGTTTATCCTTTCTCATTCAATGAGTGAAACTATTAGTGGCTTTACCAGGTAGAATATCAGTTTCCTACAATTACTTAGTGGATAAACACATTATTGAGTTATAGGGCCAACCGATCTTTGTTTCACCTCCAAGAAAACCAACAATAGGAGACTTCGGAGATCAGGAATATTGAAATGTTTCTTTTTGATATTGGACAGAAAATTTGCCCTGTTTGAATACTGTTTCTAAAAACAGTTTTTTAGTTTTCAGAAGAAAAAACAAAAAAACTCGTTTAATACCTGTTTTGTAAAAAAAAGTTTTAAAAGTTGTAACTGTTTTATTTTATTTTATTTTAGAATCAAATTTAGAGAACATGTATGAATTGTTTTTATTTTGTGTTTTGACTTTTAACTTTCAAAACAAAAAACCAAAGAAAACACCTATTTTCATAACTATTCTACAAAACAGTTTTAAGAACAAAAAAATCAGAACTCAATCAAACAGACCTTTTATCTCTTGTTTTTGTTTTATCTTTGTTGTTTTTTCACTCCTTTTGAAAAATCTCTGCTCAGTTTGTTGTTGACCCTTGCGATTAGTTATCTGACTGAATTACTATTAGGAGGCTTCCCTTTAAATTTTCCAAACAAAGACTCTTAAAAATGAGTCATTTTGTTTGACATGCACTTCATAACTAGATTTTTTGGTCTTTCTGCAGGAAGGTCCTCGCACACTGGTGGGAGTTGCAACATTTGACTCAACAATTCACTTTTACAACTTGAAACGTGCATTGCAGCAGGTAAAACATAACATATATACTGATTTTTATTTTTGAAAAAAGTAGTTGTAAATTGATGTTTTCCAGCTTTTTTGCATAGCATATAACTACTTTTGTTTTAGGCATAATTTGAAATTTTCTGCTTTTAGAGGGTGAATGACAGTGGGGATTTATATACTACAGTTAATTGGTGTCTAGGAAACCAAGCAATCATATTTGCATTGTTTGTATCAGCTTTTCCTGTGTCTCGGAGCAGTGGGAACATTGGTTTTCTATTATTATTTGTTTGCACCTATGTTTTTCTACTTGTGATTGTTTTGTGAACTTTAGAACATAAAAAATATATCTTTGCAACTAGTTTAATTAATAGATATTTACAGTTCTGAGTAATTGAGTAACTAGTTTAGATAACTAGCTCTTTGCATTTTACAGTTCTAAGTAATTGTATCTCAGGCTGTTTTTGAAATTTAAAATTTGTAGCCACTGATGCTCATTGTTCCTGATGTCCAAGACGTTTATACTCCTTTGCAAACTGATGTAATTGTTCCACTATCTGAGGTCAGTTTCAAATATTTTCCTTCTTGCAGAATTGTAGTAGATTGATTGAGTTATCTTTGGAGAATGTATTTACTTTGTTTACTTTTTCTTATTCTTGGTTCAGCCGTATGGTTCTTTACTTAATTGGTTTGCTTCTTTTGTGGTTAGTGCCGTCAACACTTAGAATTACTTCTGGAAAGCATTCCTACCATGTTCGAAACTAATAGAACCTCTGAATCAGCATTTGGTGCAGCTATCAAGGTATGTCAGTTTGTTTTCAAGTTATAATTGTGTGACTTTGCAACGTTTTATGTGTTAATTGCTGAGATAGTTATAGAGATAGGATCAACCTTTCCTTGTGCTTATATAATTTCTTGTGTTTTAGATTTTCCCTACTTTCATACATACTTCCAATGCTTCTTGGCATCCTTTTAATGAATACTTTTTATATGTAATCTAAAAAAGAAGTGAAGTAAAGGAATAACCATGACTAAACGCTTTTATTTGTTCTTCTTCTTAGCCTGCTTGCTGCATTTCTGAGGTTTTACTTATCTCTCCCCCCCCCCCCCCCCCCCCCCAAAAAAAAAAAAAAAAAAAAAAAAATCAAAAAACAAATATTTGTTGTTATATTGGAGTAGTTCATGCATGTGTGACTGTGCTCTTTTCTGTTAGATTGACAGTTGTTGGTGTCAGTTATTCTGTTGAAGTTATTGTACTTGTTCTCTGTTCACAAAACACTTTTTGATGTCAATACCTTTCTAACTTCAGATTTCTGTTCAGATCTTTCTCTCTGATTTTTTGTGGTTTTCCCTCACTCTTCACTTTTTTCTTTACTCTTCAAGTTCTATCATATATCTAGGGTGTCTTTACGATGTATAACTGATGGGCTATGACTAGTGGGCCCAAGTTCAGCAATGCAAAGTTAGTTAGGGAATTAGCTAGTTTGTTAGGGAAATTATTCTAGAATATTCCTAAAGTATAGAATAAAAGGAGTGTGTGTAGGGTGATAGGGGGATATTGAGTATTTTGGTGAATTGGGTTTTGCAAAGGATCTCTTGGGATCTCTTTGGCCTAGGTATTTTGGCTTGAGAGTGAGTGAGGTCTTTTGTTGTTTTATTTGTTATTCCTTTGTATTTCCTATTACCTCTTTGTTATGCTTACTGGTTAGTGTCTCTGATGAATACTGAGATAATGGAAGTATTTTACTGTTCAATTGTTGTTATCTTTGCTGTTGAATATTTTGGGTTCCATCAATAACACTTAAGTTTCATAGTGTGTCTTTATGGGGTATGCATGAAGTTGAAGGTTTATGTAATGTTATGTTGATAGTTTTTTGTGTAAGGTTTCTGTTTTGCGTATATGGACTGGAGATGCCCTATCCTTTGCATATTTATTCGTTTTCTTCTAATTACATTTTTCTTATATTGTAAATGCAAATATGTTGTTATGCATGCAAATATGTTGTTATGCTGGATATTATTTAGGAAAATATTCAGACTGAACTCCTTACAGCAGAGGTAGTCCTCTCTAATCCCTAAAACAGAAGCAAAACAAGAACAAATGAAAATGGTTACTGATTCTTCGAGGGCTCTGCTTTATCCCCGTCCGAAGGCCCCAAATTCTCACTTAATGACTAGATGTCTCCCACCATGATCCTTGCCTCCCTTTAACCTTGTTCCATTGTTTTCCCGTTGCTTCCTATTTCCCACACTCCTTGCCACGTAGGGAAGGTTGTTACAGCTCAAACCCCTTTCTGCCCCTTATGTTGTACTCATTGCTTTGGTTCTATATTCCCCTGCTACCCTTTCTAATTCTACTAATATACCCTTTAGCAACTGGTGGATGCTTAAGACGGCTATTGTTGTTGTTTTCCATTATTTTTATTGTCATCTCACTGCGGTTGGCAAATTGACACATGTTCCTCTATCCAAATGCATATGAAAATATGTTAGTTCTTATACCATTGTTTTCTTCTTTTAGGCGGCTTTCCTTGCAATGAAGGACACTGGAGGAAAGCTGTTGGTTTTCCAGTCAGGTGAGTTTCGCAGCTTGTATATTTCTTAAATAATTGATATTTGTGTTACATAATTGTTGCTATCAACATCCTTAGTAGGCCATGATGAATGAAGCATCAAAATTCATGTTGATGTTAATTTTCTTTTTTGAATGCATGCATGCTGCCACATTTGTTGCTTAGTCAATTCTTTTCTTTTCGGAATTATATGACGAATAAAACTCAGTATCTAAATAAAAAAAGTTACAAATATTCAGAAAGACTGCAAACTTCTGCAATTTTAGGTTAAAATAAAAGAAATATATATATATATATATATATTTAAAAAACCTGTGTTTTAATAACAGGGTTTAATGACCAAAAATGAGTAAGTAAAAGAATTAATACGGTTTGTTGATGCGGCACACAGAAGTACTTGGTAAACACTCTTGACTTTATCCAAATGCTTCTTTTATCTTTAAAACCCACTTTCCTCTTTCAAAAGTAATAGGTTCTGCTATTAATCATTCCTGCAATTAAACTTTTTAAACGTCCTACCTAAAACAATATTATTTTTTACATTTGCAGTTTAATTGGTATTATTTGTGTTTGGACTTGGTGGTTAGAGCTTCATTTGTATGTGTGGATGGGTCTTTCCTTTAATTTTTTGTTCAGTTTCTTGTCATCCTTTGTTATTATCTTTGTCCATTTATTTATTTTCCTTCTTTTCTCTGTAATCGTTATTATCTTATCTTACATTTTCTTTTTAGAGCTCCCCGCGTAACCATATTTGTGTTATTGATTCATCGCTGACTGTTCTTTTGTTTTCAGTCTTGCCATCTATAGGCATTGGTGCACTCTCTGGACGGGAGGCTGAAGGTAGAACAAACATCACTGCAGGGGAAAAGGTATATATCTCAAATCAAATTGGTCGTTGAATTGTTGGATTCTTTTCATTCTTTCAGTAGAAAACATATCAATTTGTTATTTCATGTTTTTAAATTCTTTTATGCCATTTCCTTTTTTTAAATTCGAGCTTGATAGATGCTGACATGTGTTGAGTTCCATATATTTGCAAATCCCATTGCATTTAGTGGTGAAAATGGAAATGAGACCAAATTTCATATATGCTAAAATTATCCATGATTTATCTGATACTCTGCATTGTATTATTTGTTGTACATCCTAATAATCTGGTCCAGATACTGTTCTGTTGTGCTGATAGTTTTTGAATTTCAGGAAGCCCATAAATTACTTCAACCAGCAGATAAAACATTCAAGGAACTAGCAGTTGAATTTGCTGAGTATCAGGTCAATCACCAGTGCTTTTGCTTGGGAATCAGGCATTACTTTTATGTCTGGTTGAAGTTACTAGTTTACTTGTGAGCTTTTTTAATGGTCAGCTTGATATGGATGGGTTAAGTATAATTATTTATTTTGTAAAGCTGCAGGTTTGTGTTGATGTATTTGTGACTACTCAGACTTATGTGGACATTGCTTCCATATCTGTCATCCCTCGGACTACTGGTGGACAGGTATACATGAATGTTTTAAAGGGTTTGTTCTGTTGTTTAAGTGCATGATTAAAGGGATAGCTTTTGTCGCATTTTGTGCTAAATGAGATGAAGATTTGATTACTATTTTTTCTTAAGTTGATCAGATCTTTGCAATAATAATGAAAAGATATTAAGATAAATATTATTTTTTAATCTGTTCTACCTATATAAATCTGTCTCTATGCTTGAGATGCTTTCAACCACATGCTGAAAATTTTAATGGGAAGGAAATGGACAAAAAGGGGGAAGCAATCAAAAAGCATATCATAAATTCATAATGATTAGTAGTCATTGTATCTGAAAAGGCAGCATTACCTATAATCATAAGGGGTTGTTAAGGTTTCTTTGATTTTTCACGAGTCGGAAAGTTGATACCACAAGGAAATAGTTATAATTTTTTTGAAAGTGGAAATATTTATTGAATAATTAAAAATGTGTTTGTATCTATTACACATTGCATTTATAAAGCATTTTCCATACAAAAGTAGTTATATGCTATGCAAATATATGTGTTGCATTGCATGCATCAGATTTTTAGATGTTGAACTTCTCACCTTTTTCCAGGTCTATTATTATTACCCATTCTCGGCTCTCTCTGATTCTGCAAAGCTTTACAACGATCTTAGATGGAATATCACCAGGCCACAAGGTTTTGAGGCTGTAATGCGTGTGAGGTGCAGTCAGGTAGTTTGCTTGTTTCACTTTCTTTGCTATTTCTTCATGCAACATATGGACTCTACAATTTTCATTTTATTTTTTGTCAGGGTATCCAAGTACAGGAATACTATGGCAACTTCTGTAAACGCATCCCAACTGATGTCGACCTACCTGGGGTCTGTATATTTTTCTAGATGCTGGATATTATTATATGCATGTGTGTTTAAACCATAGTTCAGATATTGGCAATTTAGATTGTATAATGTATACTAACACTGGCGTGCTGATATATGCTAAACCATAGTTCAGATATAATTAAAAGTGTTGTTTAAACTCCTAGGCTTAATGGGACAAGACTGTTACGATTTGGGTTATATACAAGTGATCTATAGTTGCACAAGCTTGCTGTATACTGGGTAGATTCAATCAATGTTGTTGTGTTGTTAGGTTTAGTTAATACTGTTGGATTATGTGTAAAATAAGTAGAGAGATGTAATTGGAAGGAGATAAAAATTTCGATGTAGTGACATGCGTTTCTAATGAAAATTTTATACATAAATTTGTTATAGGAAGAATGTAACAGCATAGCTATCATCATCAATAAAAAATTGTTCAGTTTTTCTATTTTTATTGGTATTTATGAGTTTATGATCTTCAGATCACCTTATATTGCTATCTTCCTGATTAATTGCACAGAGTGCTCTCGGATTCATAGCAATCTGAGAGAATTTTACCTACCACCCATTTTTCCTGTTAAAAAATTGTACAAAATTGAGGGCTAAATAAGGGAGTTAACTTGAAGTTTCCACTTAATGAAGTTGGTTGATCTTAGGATTTGAAATGTCATTGCTATTGACGGAACTGGTTTTAGCTAAAGGTGTTAGATACTAAAGAAGTGAAGTTATGGAGGTTTGAATTTTCTGTACTGCCTTTTTTGAATCGAGGGTGAAATTGCTGGTGAACAGTATTATTTTATTTGCATACATTTAACTGATGTGTTGGCCGATTTGAGTAGATGGAATCAATCGGCTTGCCTGGAAACAAATAAAATAGAAAAGAGGAGATGGGGAGGGAGATATGGCTGGATTAGTTTTCCCAGAAAGAGATATAAACAGGCTTTGATATGGTGCCTAACTGTCTACATACTTGCAAGTGGTACCATGCCATTCTTATGTTGACGAAAACTAGAATTCCTTAAAACATACTCCTCTTGAAACATACTATGGTATGTTCAACCTGTGGCCTAATTTTTATTTTGTGCAGATTGACTGTGACAAAACTTTCATGGTAACATTGAAACATGATGATAAGTTGCAGGATGGATCAGAATGTGCTTTTCAGGTATTAGACAAGTTTACTGCTCTACTTTATTCCGAGGATTTTATGATCTTCACATCACCTTATATTACTTTAGGAAACTTTTTAGTCACTGTTGGTGAAAAAATTCTTATTTTGTTCTGTTTATATATTCTTGTTCATTGTTCAGTGTGCTCTTCTGTACACTACTGTGTATGGCCAAAGAAGAATACGTGTCGTCACCTTATCTCTGCCTGTCACTAGTATGCTTAGTAATCTGTTCCGCGCAGCTGACTTGGACACTCAATTTTGCTGTTTCTTGAAGCAAGGTATTATCCTTGATGTGCATTGCTGTCATGTTTTTTGCATTTGTGGCTGCCATATATAGACCGTCAACAGCTCTATATTGAATTTTGTTGGCTTTAAATATTGTAGCTGTTTTCATGGTAGTGTCATCCTGTTCATATTTTAGAGCATGTGTTTGCAGTTAGATGGAAGAATTTTAACGGCTTTCCTTTTCTTCTTTTTTCTTGTAGCTGCTAGTGAGATTCCTTCAAAGCCACTCCCACTTGTTCGGGAACAAGTGACAAATCTTTGCATCAATGCACTATTTTCATATCGCAAATTCTGTGCTACCGTGTCCTCATCTGGACAACTTATTCTTCCAGAGGCGCTAAAGCTTTTGCCCCTTTACACGCTTGGTATGTATGAATTTTCATGCATTCTTTTCAGAAGTTTTCTGATGAGCAATTCCGTGGAACTAACGAGATATTATTTGTCATAGTTTATTAATTTTTTACGTCCTACCTTGCATACCAAACCTGATTGTCTCAAACCATTTTTTTTCTTTTTATTGTTTGTTTTTATTTTGCCACTCCTGCACTGATATGCCAGTAACGTGGTCAAAATTCTTAAAATCAAAAGATACCCTTTAGAAGAAATATTACTGCATTTTATTGGATATACTGTAGATATCTTTTCACATGTTGCCCCTTTAAAATGGTCGTTGACTTTGCATTATTGTCCTTGTTCTGGTCCGTCTGTTTTGAACTAGGATCTTGTTTTAGCTGTGAACTGAGGATAACTGTCAAAGATCAATCTCGATTGTTGAAATTCAAATTGTTGATATGATCTCCTTTAGATGGGTGTTAATTTCATTCGTCATTTCTTTTTCAGCATTAACTAAGAGTACAGGGTTGCGAACAGAGGGAAAGATAGATGAACGGTCATTTTGGATAAACTATGTGTCCTCTCTCTCTGCTCCATTGGCAATACCACTTGTCTATCCTAGGATGGTGGCTATCCATGATCTTGACTCAAAGGTAAATTGATTAATCATGTTCAAAAACATTTAATTTTGAAAAATTATGATGTTCCACATGACACATAATTAGTTAAATTCCATATTTGCAAGGGCTTAATCAGAACTTAATAGTGCATCATATTTTGAAAATGATAATAAATTCGTATTTTAAAAAATGAGCATGTAGTACTTATTTGATTGATATGAAATTTTGTGAGCATAATAAGCTATCTGATGAAAAGGTTAAAATGGTTGATTTCTTGACAAAGTGATCTATAAACCCTGACCTTATATATTAATATTACTTCTTGAGACACTAATAACCTATTATAAATTGCAGGAAGATGAGGAATCTGTTATTCCTTCCTTTCTTCCTCTTTCTAGTGAACACATCAGTGATGATGGAATATATCTTCTTGAGAATGGTCATGATTGTTTGATATATATTGGAGACTCTGTGAGTCCAGATATTGTGCGGAAACTGTTTGGTGTTGCTACGGTTGACGAAATTCCTGCTCTGGTAATTTCTGTTATATTCTCCCTCTCTCCCTCCCTCCCTCCCTCCCTCCTGTTGCCATTGCCTAATGGCACACAATTTGTCAAATTCTAACACTATCTATGATTGTTTTCAATGGAATTTTTATCACCATTAATTCATAAGCCCTGGTGTCTTTTAGGACACATGGTTTTTTTAGAGCGCTGAAAGAAACAGTTATTTTAATCGAATTGCTTTTCTAGTATTTTGTTGTTCAGAACTGGCAATGTGAAGTTAACATTAGGTTTTATCAGTTTGTATTGCAGCAGTATGACAATCCTCTATCGAAGAAGTTAAATGAAGTGGTAAATGAGATACGGCGGCAAAGATGTTCCTACCTTCGGTAGGCTAATTGTTTTGACAATTATTGCATATTTGAGATCTTGCTGAATAATCTTCTACGTGATTTGATGACTAAATGGAATGTAAATTTTAAACAATCTTTTAATTTTGCAGGTTAAAGTTCTGCAAGAAAGGAGATCCATCAGGTCAGTGCATTAGAATGATTGCTTAGCCCTGGTTGCTTAATGCAGGCTGGATTTTTAAGTATTGGCACGAACAGATGAAAGCTAATTTACATAAAACATGACATCATTCCCCAATCCTATTGGCAATATTTCATTTTTTTCCCGGTTTTTGAAAAAGTTGATTGTTTCAATTGCATAGTCTTTTTAGACATTTTGCTTACTCTGTTTGATAATATTTGCTTCTTGAACCAATGCTGTATGTTTTCATGAAAAGGGTTGCTTTTCTGTACGTAGGGTCCAAAACTTAACAAAGTCCATCAAATCATCTTAATATTCACACCAACAAGCTAGCCTTTTGTTAATAAAAAAATAATACCAGCAAGTACAAATTGGGGTGTTTTTTTCCTATATTTTGTCGATTTGAACTGAACCTTTTCTTTCACCATCTTTCATGACCCAATTGTGTTGACATTAAGCATTCTTCCTGAGTTTTTTAAACATGCTCAATGGTTGTATTTTTTGTTTCATGACTTGTGGCAAATTCCGAGGAAGATGCTTGTGTATGTGAAACTTTACTGGGTTGGATCCCTGGAGCAGTACCATATAGTGTTGCTGGACAACAGTAGAATCTATTGATTGAATTTCTGCTCTCTTTTTGTTGGTTATTTTTACCTCAGATTTTTTACCTCAGATGATCGCTAGGAATCTATTTTTTTTGCGGAGCTACCACTTTATGCAATGTTATTGTGATTACTTGCCTCCCATGATCAAAACACAATTTTTTTTAAGAAACAAATTTCTTTTGTAGTTGGATTTAATTTTTGAAGAATTATAAATTTTTGGCTTTAATGGGTCAGTCATGTTTTGACTTAATTAACAAATTGTCTGCTTAATTCTCCATATCCGAGTATTTTTGTCTGGAAATCCTAAACTATCAAGCTGTTTAGGTACTGCATTGTCTGCTAAGTTTATTAAAATGAGCTTCATATCTATGTAATAAACTACTCGTGCTACTCTTAGTTCTCTGTTGGGTTGTTATGCTACATTAGTTTAGAATAGGAAATCTTTAAATAGATAAAAGAAATCTATGGACAATTATTTTGGTGTACATTGTTCTTGATTTCTTAACTGAACCTATCTTATTTACTATCTATCAGGAATGTTATTCTTCTCATATATGATAGAGGACAAGAGCGCAGGTGGCTTCTCCTATGTAGAGTTTCTTATCCATGTTCATAGGCAAATCCAGAACAAAATGGCATCATAACGATTATATGCCTCCATTTTTGCAAGCTTTTAGACCTAAATGATATAGAGAAACAAGCCCCAAGGATAGGTGAGATTCTGCCTATTTAAGAGCATTCTTCATTTGCCTTGCGTTTGACAGAGGAAAACCGGACAAAAAGTTTGTTATCAAGTTTTGTTAATGTACATGTATAAGTTAATTGATGTGGGTGATAATAGTTAGAATTTTTTTTCTTTTGGTTCTATGCTCTGACAACAAATTTTATGGGCAATTATGTGTTTTCAATCGAAGTATTATAACAATGTCTCATTATATTACCGTAAATTTGAAGGAAAATGAAGAATAATTTGTTTTTGGACAAAGAGAGAAAGGAAAAATAATTTGTTTTTGGATTGTAAGAGGTGTATCAGGTGAAGTTTACAATAAATAAACAGTAAATACACCTTTATTATTTGTATATTTTAAAGGCTTTTTCATGTTACAATTTTTTTAATTTTTATGTTTTAAGTTGCATAATAAATTAAGGTTAGTAGATACCAACTCATCCCAAGGGAATTCAATTTAAATGAGTAAGAAACTAGATTGTGAGTGGTGTATCCGCCCATAATTTAAAATAGGTAAATTTTTACCAAAAAGAAAAAATTAGGTAAAGATTACAATGCAATTTTTACTTAAATAAACAAAAAATACACTTTGATTTGTATATTTTAATTGCTTTTAAATTTTATAAAAACTTTTAAGGGAAAAATGTGTATCATTTTAAAGAATGTAAAGTTATGCTATTTTAAGTGAGAGAAAAAGATAGATAAAAGGGGGGAGAGAGTGAACAAAATAAAAATAAAAATACGAGTTTCACTCTTTTGTGAGAGTGAAATGACACAAGTTGTGTTATTTAAAGTGATAAACATTTTTTCCTTCTTTAAGAAGCATAATAAATAAAGGTTAGTAGGAACCGACTGACCCGAGTCCAAGAGAAGTGAATTGTAATGAGTAGGAAACTTTCTCTATCTTTGATTTTCACACCAAAAAGAATACAAATGCAAGAATTGTTTGCCACTACCTAATCAATCAAGAGTTCCATTTGACCCTTTTTCTAACATAAACACTAATATTTAACGAGCACAACACTATAAACTTTATGGTCAAATATTAATAACAAATCAAGATTCTTCATTATTCAAATAAAAAAGATTTGATAGCTTCCCATAGCACGTATCCCACCAGGACAATATACAGCTTACAATGCACTTCTCGCATTTTGGGGGGTATCTGTTTAGGCTGATATATGTCGCCTCAAAATAAGAGTGGTTAATTGATGTATTAATACTCATCAGGTATTATCTTTGCAATACCTTGAAGGAAACGAGTGAGGGCCTTCTTGGCCCCAATTATTGCCGTCTCTATTTTTTTCTCCTCCTCTTCATTAGCAGCCTTCATTTCTTGAGATAAGTGCACTCTACGTACAAGCTTTCGCAACTCCTGCTAAAAGATGGTTATGAGATGTAGTGACAACAAATGATAAGATTTTTAATGCCAATAAAAGTAGACAGCAAAAGGAAAGCGGATACTTGATTAGCATACAGAAATCTGTAATGTGATCCTGAACGTCCCCTTCCACCACCCATATACCATCTCTCTGTGTCTCACTCATAAATATGAAAGACCAAAAAGATTAATAGCAAGGGAAAATTGTGCGGACAAAGTGTAACTATAAAGGGGCTTCTATTATATTTTATATATAAAAAAAAAATATGCTTAAACTTCAGGTGTGTTTCTCAAATTTTTAAAGCAGAGCCATCAACCAATGAGCTTGTACGTGGTTCCACCTCTGACTGTATGGTTGATTTGAAATAAGCTCTTAAAACTAATTACCATATGAAGTAAGATAATGTATGTTTTGAGCATAATATCTCCGGTACATGGGCTTCAGATTATAGTCCGCTTTGGCAGGACACGTTTTTCATTTGTTGTTGGTTCCTATGGCAATGGAGGAACAAGGCTATTCATGACACTAACTTCGAAAGGCCCTCGAAACCTAAACGACATTCATTCCCCTAAGGATATCGTTGGAAGACCTGTTTGGAGAACAACCAAAGAGAGGGTAGTCACAGCCGCTTGGACTCCCCCAGAGCTTGGATGGACCAAAGTAAATTTTGATGGTGCATCAGACATAACTTCTCATGAAGCTGGGTGTGGTGTATTGATCCGAAATGCAGAAGGCATTTGGCTCCGGTGAGGAGCTTACTATCTGGGAATATGTAATGCAGAGATGTGGAGAGCTCTTTATAGTCTTCAGCTTGCTTGGTCAATGCCGCTGTGTTTGTCTGGAAGGGGATTCAATGGAGCTAATCTCCATGTTCACCTCTGAAGGTGAGATTGCTAGTGGTTAAGATTCTAGCCTGGCTTCACAAATATTGGGAAGTCAATTTTCGAAATGTCTCCTGCGAATGCAACAGGTGCACAAACTAGCTCGCTGGAACAGGAAGAAGATCGAAGGTTAAGGAATAAGTATATAGACTTGTCTCTCCAGGATTGCAGGAAATTTACGAAGAAGATTTAGCTAGAGTTTCAAGCTTTAGTTTTAATGTCCCTTAATTTTAGTTTGTTTGTTGTGTTCTGGGCTAGGCCCTCTATAATTACCAAAAAAAAGAAAAGAAAGATAATGTATGTTTCACCAGCAACTGCTCTCAAGCAAGCACAAATGTACACTACCAGTGGCAGAGCACATTGGGACTAGCTAGTGCCTTGGCACTAGCTAGTTTTCAAACTTTTTAGAATTTGGCATGGGTAGAGGCTAAAATTTGGCAGCTATGCAAAATAGATAAAAAGATGGCAGGAGCTAAAATTTTGGGAGGAGGGATTTTGGCACGGGCTAACATTTTTTGCTGGCTCCGCCACTGTACACTACTTGATCAAGCATAGAGCAAACTATTACCTGACGATCAAACTCAACTCCTCGAACTGAATAAACTTCATTGGTGATTTGAATGTCCTTATTGATCAAACCATCAAACCACCTTGTTACTTGACTGTCATGCCAATTAGATTCCTGATAACATGCTCCACAAATAAGAATACAACTCAAAGAAAAATATAACACACCAGATTTAGCAAACAACAACCCCTGATGTGAGAGAAAGACAAGCTAAAGGGGTACTATTCAATAAACTATGTATGAATGCATACCTCCTCGTCCTCCTCGTATTCAGTTTCTATCAAGTCATCATCGTCATCTTCAAGATTGTCAGACCCTAAGCCAGTTAAAGCTTGCAGTTCCTTGTGGTTGGAATCTTTTGTTGCTTTTATTAATCGATCCATTAACTCAGGTTCCGCGTCCCCTAGCAATTTTCCTGAGACAATTTATGTATGAAGAACATGAATCTGTACTGCAGAATGTACATAATATCATATCAATTTACCAATACACGTTGAAAGAAAATTGACAAGTGTACCAATGAAAATTGATCAGTTATTTCAAGAAGTCAAGGTATACATACCGTCTCATTGATGCAAAACAAATTGGAAAGAGCGATAAAAAATAACACATCTGATATATAAAATAAGATGAGATGATGCTCAATCATGCCTGAATGTTTATACCCTTCTAAATACTGGTCATGAACATGAACTAATCCTCATATATGCAGTCGACCCAAATAGCCCACACAAGATATTGCTGTTTTCAAAACAAAATGTTGCCAAAGTAATTACCAATATAATTGAATTGCCTTCGCTTTCCTTCGCGAACATCTGGCCCCAGTCTCTGTGGCAAAACAACAAACACCTTCTCGTCAACAACAGATTCATCCACAATTACATTTTCACAGCGTAAATAAATAAAAATTCCGGTAGCACTATTTTCATCATGACTATGATGGACAAGAAAAAACACCTTAACTAACATAAGAGCTTCGAACACAACTTGGTCCAAAGAAGCGACCCTGCAACCCAAAACAAATTACACAAGCTTTTAGCAAAGATTGCAACTTTCCGAAGTGGGCATTCACAAAAATGAAATGGGTCTATTCAGAAATCTAAATTCTGATACAAGACCTAAGGATGAGTTTGATTTGGGGAACAGAGAAGGAAGCCAAATCCATTCCCCAATGCACACGACGCCTTGCTTCCCACTTCAATTGGTTGCGGCTCTTCTTGGGCTTGGGATCCGAGTCGGAGTCGGTGGCACTAGCACTGGCACTGGCACCTCCATTGTCGAGTTCAGTGGTGGGTAGTGGAACATTCGCTATTCGAAAATTTCGCTTAGATAAAGCGAGTGGGGCCAACGAGAAACGATCATAGGTTGATATTGAGTTTGTGGGTTCTTGTGGAGAAGTCAGAAGATGATGGTAGTGAAGTGGAATGCTAGCACAAGTACGGTGGTGAAACCATGGCCATAGTCTTAGAGGCCGTAATAATTGTTGGGTCATGTGTGATTGAGTCTGCAAATATGACATGAAACAGAAATGATGATGCTATTCGGCTATTCCTCTACATGCCAAAGATAAATGCATTTGATTTATGGGTTCAGTGTATCTGATTTTTTAAAGGATAAAGAGTTTTATTATTGGGTTTCTTCTTTCTCATTTAAAATCACATAACATATGTCATTTTAAAAGAGAGATAGACATAGAAAAATAGAAATTATAAAAGAGAAAAAGTGAGTAATTTTTTAATTTAAAATTTAAATAAATTTGTTTTATATGTCTATCTCTCTTTTAACGTGACAGAGTGTTATTTCATTTAAAATAACAACCACTCTTCCCTTTCCACAAAGTAATCTATTTTTTTAAGGGTATATTTACTATCAACTAAGTTTATGTTTCTTATCATTTTTTTTATAACAGTTAGATAATAATCAGTAAAACATGATGAAAAGATGAAGTTTAGAGAAAAAATAGAGAAATTAAATGACGAAAAGAAAAACAAAATTATATCGAAGCAATCATTGATTTAATTTTATCTGATCGTTACAAGAGAGCTAGTAAGACTTGATAAACTATAACCTCTTCTTTAAAAAAAAATAAAAAATAATACTATTGAAAAATAGGAACAAATTACTTTTACAACTTTTTTTTGTTTACAACTCTTATAACCTCGACTATGTTTGGAATTAAAGGAAAGAAAAACAATTAAAGACATGTTTGGTACATAGGATAAGATAAAGCCTGATAGTATAAGACCTGATAGTATAAGGTCTGATTGTATGAGACCTGATTGAATTTTAATATTATCCAACGTTTGGCACGGTATTATATAAAATAATATATTATATAAGATAATATCATCTAGTATTTGGTAATGCACTGTATAATACTATATATGATAAAAATAAATATTTTTAATAAAAATATCCTTTAATAAAGAATTTATATAATTCTTCAAAAAATGTCATATGATATTAACTTTTATAAAAATTTATTGATTAGTGTGTCCAAAATATAAATTAATTTTCATAAAAATAAAAAAATTCAATATTTTAAAAATTAATATATTGAAAATTAATTTTTATTTTAATAGATTAATATTAAAATAATATATTAATTTTTGAGAATTACATTGGTCAACGATGTTAATACATCAATATCTTATCAGGCCTTATCCCTCACTCGTAGGCCGAATTAAGTTATACATCATTTTGATGTATTAAGGGATTATGCTGTATAAGCTTATACTATACGATGATCACACCAAACAACTGAAAATGCCATAACGTATAGTATATGCTTATACTATCATGCCTTATACGTCACACCAAACAAGCTCTAAGTACACATCCTGAGGCTACCTAGCCCCACTTCATTCCTACGAAGTCGAGACAAGCATCCCTTAAGGGGGTTGCTCTAAGATACATAAATTTCAATCTTCATGATCATGACTAAAACCTGCGAGCCAGTCCGCCACCGTATTACCTTTTCTAAGCGTGTGAGATAAGTTGGTCGACCAAGGGCCTGATAAGAAAACAAGTGAAGTAAGAGGGTGTTGGGCGCTGCAACCAGATAAGATGAGTTGGACTGCAACAAGAGAGTCACTCTCCACCCAAACCTGTCTAAAGCATGCATTCTAAGCAATCTCAACATCATGGACCAGACCCCAAAGCTTCGCTCTAAGCGCCGATCCACTCCCAGTATTTCTATAAAAACCCATTAGCTAGTTACTAGACTCATTCCGAATAACTCCTCCACAGCTAGAATTCAACCCTCCATTCACGCTAGATCCATCAAGATTTACTTTAACCCACCCTGATGGGGGAACTTTCCAATAGATATTCTAGTCCATCCTATCAACATTCTAAGGGGCGTTTTGTTCAGGTGAATTTTCACCAGGGAAATGTATTTACAAGGGATTTGTAGGAAAATAAATTAGGTAGGAAAGTTAAAAAAAAGTTGTTTGGCTTGGCCAAATATTACCAGAAAAATTGATTAAAGTTTTTGAAATCTATGTTTGGTTGAAGATAAAATATTGATAGATAAATGGTATAAAATTACACAAGTAAACGCATAATAATTTTTTAATATTAATACAAGTGACCATTGCTCTTTAGATAAAGGTATTTTGGTCTGCTTATGGTTACCCTTCTTGCCATTTAGCCGGCTAACTACATAATACCACTTTCAAGTTGTCTTCATAACAGTGACCGGTTGTAACGCCTGGCAACTTGCAAGGATCAACGACTGTCCCTACACACTAACACGAGACTTTTCAGCGTGCTTTGTCCTCACTCGCACACTTCCCGGAAAAACTTCCCAGGAGGTCACCCATCCCTGAATTGCTCCAAGTCAAGCACGCTTAACTATGGAGTTCTTCCGATCCGGGCTACCGAAAAGTAGATGCATCTTGTTAGTATAGGTAGTACCAATTAATTCTTATAAGTCATTCCCAACTGTACCGTCCCATACCAGCACAGTCTCTGGAATTCCTCTCTTTCGGGTGTTGATTCGATTCATTCATGTACCCCCGTCCCTAGAAGCCTGCCAGGAGCCGCTCCTTGTCCGTGTCCTTGCGCACCGGCGATCACTCCCTGCCCTCGTCAGCGCCCGGGATGTTACATGCCCACCAGCTTCCGCCCGGTTCGTCCTCGAACCACACCGTACTGGACGAGAGGCCCTGCTCTGATACCACCAAGCAAGGAGCGCTCCTCTATCAACAAAATTCTTATGAGTCCCGGGCTTTTTGAACAAGCCAAAGGGCCTATTCACATTTAGCTTCTTGCCTTGCATCTTTCTGTTCTTCCAATAACCTGAGCCCGTTGCTTTATTGGAACTAGGTGTCTGGGCCTCAGAAGGCTTTCATTTCACGATCATTTCTCAAATGCTATGCAAATAAAATAATTGGAGAAATTTTTCAAAACTGTCTATGAAATATGGAAATCGTACTTTTCCAAAGTCATATGCATAGAAAATTATTTGAAAATCTTGAAGCAAACGCCACCCTAATGTATTCTAATGCAGTTCATTCGTATGGATTAGTTCCTCATGCGAGACGGTCAAATTGAAAAACCCAGTTGATAATTTGGAAAATATTAGCCACGGTAAAACCGTGGTTAATATTTTTAACGTTGCTAATATTTTTAAATAAACCTTATGAAATTGTGACATGTGGTAATCTTACATTAATCCAACAGGGAAAGTGTGCCGTACTCACTGTATTAAATTAAAATTTTGTTTAAAAATAAAATTGTTTTAAAATTTTATTTTAATTTTTAAAAAGACTTCAAGTGTCATCCAACCTTAACTTTGACAAAAATGACTACATTTTTTACCTGTAACAATATTTTCCCCCCCGAAATTGGTGGAATGTGAAAGACACGTGTTTGCATATGGAAGGAATGAAACGCAAAAGGTGATACCGTTTCATATGACACTGTTCTACGACCGAAATCCGAATCTGTAAGAGTATAAGACCCCTCCCTCCCAGTCAGACGCTGGTGAATCTCTCAGATTTGACCTCACATCCGTCGCTTGTTCTTCTCTTCCAAAATCAACGGCGGCGATTGTCTCAGCCACCATCTAGGTACTTCATTCTTTTATCCTCTCTCTCTCTCTCTCTTCTCAGTTTCAGTTTTAGGTATCTGTGCGCTTCGCAAATCTGTTTATCTCATTCTTTCGCATAATTTGCAACCCATATACTGCAATCCGTAAACTACTTTATTCTTTAACCTAATCAAATCCCTATACAATTAAATTTTATTATTTATTTTTTTGTAGAAATTTTCTTCACTGATAATTACTTGAATTAAGGAATGTTTTAGCTTCCTTTTGTCTTTTTGGGCTGGGAAGCATACGTTTAGCTTATTATCAACAATTCAACATCAAGGAAAAGATATTAGCCTTTGGCATCGCCAATATCTAAAGTTGATCAAAGGATGGAGAGAGTACTTTATTATTATTTATTATTATTATTATTTATTATTATTATTATTATTATTATTTTCTTGGTATTACCAGATTAAGTACTTTCATAATCATCAATAGTAGATTCACAGGACTTATAGAACCCTCCCAGGTGGGTGATTGCTGACCAATGTTTTTATTTTCTCATTTATGAGTGGCATAGCTCTTGAGGGTGAACCATAGAACAATGGTAAGTTGCTACTTTGTGACCGAAGGTCACGTTTATGCGCTGGAGTTTGCCTTTACCCTTTTATGGGTGAGTGTAATAGCCATAAGATGCAATGGGATGTTATTCAGTAAGTAGAAGGATTCATGGTCTTTAGTCTTTTTTCTAGGAACCACTTTTCTTTCTGGTTGTAGTGTTACTATTTGGATTTTAAAATGGGAAAACTTAAAAAAAAAACCCTGTAAGTTTTCTATAGAATCACTTATCCCCCTCTCCAAAATTTTGAATTATTTATATCCTTACTTAATTTTTTTTTATCACTTATTCCCCTATCTTAAAAGTTTTTTTATCACTTACTCTCCTAACTTAAAAGTTTCTTTATCACTTACCCCCGAAACTTTGGGGTAATTGATAAAGAAACTTTTTTTTTTTGGTACAAACTGATAAAGAAACTTTAAGTTAGGGGGTAAGTGATAAAAATTTTAGGGAGAGGTAAGTGATTCTGAGGAAACTTATTTATATTTATTTTTAGAGTTTTCCCTTTTAAAATTACATAAGTATTTGTATTTACATGCATGTGATATGATATTTCTGCTCTGTTAAAGTCATCTCACAATTTCGTAATGGCAATCAGAACTCAGAAGTAGCACTGTTATCAGATGGCTTCCTTTAAAGCATTCTTGAACAGTCCAATGGGTCCAAAAACGACTCACTTTTGGGGACCTATTGCCAACTGGGGATTCGTGGCAGCTGTGAGTTTCACATCATTTGTTTATATTGTTGAAAAAGTCCAGCATTTATTTACTTGACTAGTTATTCATAATACACAATGGTCTTAACCTTTGATTTGAAACTAATATGCCAAACTATTTTATTAAAAGGGATTGGCTGACATGAACAAACCTCCAGAAATGATCTCTGGCAACATGACAGCAGGTTTAACATGTTTATTCCCCCAAAATGTTGAAATTTTTTCTCGTTGTATGGTCTTTGGCTTATTGCATCCCTTGCTTGTTTTTAATGTTGCAGCAATGTGTGTCTATTCCGCATTGTTCATGAGATTTGCATGGATGGTACAGCCCCGCAACTATCTACTTCTTGCTTGTCATGCCTCGAATGAGACTGTTCAACTCTATCAACTCTCCCGTTGGGCAAAGGGACACGGGTAAGCAGCTGAACTTGCAATCTAAACTAAAGTACTATAATTTTATCCAGTTCCATTTGCCGTTACTCACTGTTATGGTTATAAATGCTATTTTAACTTGTAAGATACTTTTGAATTGCATTGCCCTTTTTGGCTTGTAATTAGTTTTACCTGCGTCCACTTTTATTTTTAACTGACCAATAAGGCTCTTTTTGGATCTGGTGTGGGAAAAAGCTTCTTCAAGTTACAAGCCCTTCTAGAAAACAAGGTCAAGTTAATTGGCTGTACTTTGTGTAATCTTGAATATCAAAATGGTAGACGTATTTTTGTAATGCTCTGACATACGCTTGATTTATTATGCTTACCACTATCATTGTATTTTCAACTGAATTCCATCTCTATTTTGAATTGGTCTTTTATAATGGGGGTTATGGATATCAGTTTACTGATAAAAGTTTTTATCTTTTGCAATTTCTTTTGTAGGTATCTCGTGGGGAAGGAGAAAGAGAAGGAAGCTTCATCCCAGTGACCTGATGCTAGCTTTCCTGAATGAATCGATTTGAAAAGATTTTGCGTTTGAATTTGCCGATGCATGAATAATTGATTATCAGAAGGGGCGTGTGAGATATTTGGATTTGGAAGGAGTAGGACTGCGGAAAAGTCTAAACTATTAGTTAAAGGCATAAGGGTGGTTTTATATCCCCAAGATTCACTGACCCAGAAGTCTTTAAACTTCAAGCATAGGCGAAGGATTTGTCCATTATGTTTTATGCTGAAATTCAATTTAATTATAAAGATTGGGTCATGAAAATTGGACTGTGAGTATTTAGTCATTGAAACTTTGATTTTATGTCAATCATTTTGACACCCATTTCTTCTAAATTATAATTTGAGCATGAGGATTGAATAGTTTTATCGGCTAAACAAAACCAAACTGCTATCGGACCTCTTTCCGGTTGTCCCTTCTGCAAAAGCAAACTTGAAAAATTAGGATGGCTCTGATGCTCTCAATTTTATTTTTTTTTATTTTTATTTTTTTGGTATATCAATCTTAAATATCTCTTTGAGGCCTTCCTCCTCTTATTTGGTGGGAATTGAATACAGTTTTCTCTTCACATATTTAATGTCTTTAATTGAACTATATTCATTGGTTATTAATACGCAAAGTGAGTTTTTCAAGCATTGATTAACTGTTGGTTATATTTAAAGCACTTTCTAAAATTGATCATGAAATCAGGTGTCTATAATACTAATTTGCATTAGTTAAATGTACTTATAAGGATACTGAATTATCTCTATATTTTTTTTATCATACTAAGTATTTCTGCACCTTTAAATAAGATTAATTTTTGTTTTAAATACTTTTAATAATTTATAAATTTCTTATAAATTCAATAAATATTTTTAAGTAATTATAAAAAAAATTAGCATAGATATATTTTTAATTTATTTTGTTACTGAATATGTCTGTTTTTAAATAATTACCTCGCATTATATAAAAAAAATAACTATAATTAAACATAAATATTTTATCAAAAAAACTTTTTAAATAATTTGGAGGTGAAAAAAATTAAAAATTAATATTAACAAATGATTAAATTTTGAATTAACATTTTCGAGAAACCACTAGAAAATATTACTATATTAAGAAATTACTACATTGATCTATTGTGAAATTAGTGGTAGTTACATTTATCTTTTTCGAAATAGTACACTAACTTTTTTACTTCGTTATTTTTTTTTAAAAAAAATTATAAGATCCGCGCATAATAATACGAGAAATATGTATATGATTTCTTATAAAAAAAAAGTATTAAAACATAAAAACAGTACATAAAATAAGGAAGACAAATGTCATAATTTTTTTATATAAAAAAGGAAATTTTAATTAACAGTAACCTCAAAGGAATATTCTGTTTGGTACGCGAGATTTTTGAGAATTTCTGAAAAACTGAATTTTTTAAAATTTTTAATTTTTAAATATTATCGTGAACTGAATGTAAAAGTTATATTTTTACAAATTGAGATTCTTGGATAAAAAAAAAAATTTCTCTACCAAACGTCCCTTGTATCAAGACATAAATTACACGAAATTAAAATACCATGTGTAGCCTATTTTTACGCCCAATTATAATTTTTTTTTTTAGAAAAAAAGTTAGTAGTGTGAATTCTCCGCAGATGGCCGCTTGTTTTCTTTTTAATAGAAGAGTTAGCACAAAAAGGGTTTTGGAGGCGGAAGAGGGAGAATGGCGGAAGAGGTGGGTGGAGAAACCAGAACGAGAAATGAACATAAAGAAGAAAAAGAAAAAGAAAAAGAAGAGAAGGGGATGAGTCCATGGGATCAACACTCAGGCGTGATCAAGCTCCCTCGCTTTGATTACAATGCTCCCTCTTCTCTTCTCCATCACTCCCATTCCGGCTTTCTCATCACTTGTACTATCAGTTACTTTTCTTTCTTCTTTCTTCAACCTCCTCAATCACTTTTTTTTTTTTTCTTTCAATCTTCTATTTCCACATCTTATGTATATGAAGACCTACCTTTTACTCTTAATATTATATTTTTTATATATTAATTATTGAGCTTGCACTTATACCTTATCGAGTGTTTGATTTTATACTATTTTGAATTTTTCTTACCAGAGCGGGAGAAAAGCGCTACTAAAGAAGCAATCTCTATACTTGATAAGGTGCCCTTCTTTCATTTTCAGCTATACCTTTTCTTCTTCGTTTTTCCCTTCATAGCCATAAGCTGATTATGTTATGAGACACATTCATCAGATCAGCTATGAACTTGATGTGTTATGACTCCAATGACCGAGTGCTGAAGCAGTTTTAAATATCACTATGATTGTGGAAGAAATTTTGTCACTTCTCATTATCTGTATGTGCTATAAATTATAAAATCTGTGTGTGTGTGTGTGTTGTTTTCCCTTTGTGATTTGGATGCTGCCAAGTTATATGCCAACAATAAATTATGGAAGCCTCTGTTACGGTAAAACAAAGACATCCTATGATTTAAATGACTTTATACAAGTGATTAGAGACCATGAAGTACATTAACTCGCATATACTCACTTGGGCCTATGTTTACTTTTTTCCCTCATATCATTGTAATTTTTCTTACAGTTCGTTGGGCCCTTTAATACGGGTGGTCATGACTGTTTGAAGAACCCTTTAGAGAATAGTACTTCAAAGAGGAGGAGGATATGCACAGAAGATATTGGTGAGGAATGTTTGGACATCGAGGAAACCAAGTCTGCTACTGCTAACTCTGGAGATGGTACTGTGATTATATACTTGTCTTTTTGCAGTTTTGGGAGATAGAATGTAGGATAGGGTTGTTTTGGGTTTATTGAACATTCATGGTCATGAACTCTGATGGCAGGTAAACTTTTAAGTCATGCTAAAGCAGAGACAGAAACAGATGGAGTAACTGGTCTTTCTTTGGTTAAGTTGAACAGGAGTGGGTTGCTTCTCTTTACCTTTCCCAATAACACATTGCCTGACACGGTTAATGTTGTGTCAAATATCATTCAAGCTTTGGAGTCTGGGAGTGTTAGTGTGCCAGTGTAAGTAACTCAGCTCATGCTTACGTTAGTAGTTAAAAATGTTTTGTTTGTTGTTTATTATGTCAATGATACCACCGGGTATAACCTTATTCGATGTTCCTCCCACCTTGCTACCCAAATAAAAGAAGGGGAAATTCTTCAAGGGGGTGTTTGGTAGAGGGTTTATTTTGAGATTCCCGGGAAAGTGAGGGTGGTAATCCTATTTATCCATGTTTGGTATAGAATTTCTGAAAAAATTTCTGGGATTTTGTTTTGTGAGCAAATTGTGATTGAAAATACCATCCAAGAATACCACCCTCTGGGTGGTATGCTTGGATTACCGGGAAAATGGAAAATGACACACAAAAAAGCTGACTAAAATAACCGTCTTGTAAACCTATTCCTGTATTGTACTGGGAATGATGATTACTCCACCATAAAGCACCTGGTTCACTCCTCTCAACGTAACTCTGTGACTGTGAAGAGGAAGAAGAAGAAGAAGAAGAAGAATGCTTCTCTTAGCCTCAGCTTCATCCTCTCCTCTTTCTTTCCCTTCACCTTCAAACCTTCATCTCTTCCTCCCTTCCTCTTTTCCTCGTCCTTCATTTCCCCTTCCCCTTCCTACTTCTACTTACCAAGCAACCGCACTTCGCCTCCATACCCCACCTAGGTAGCACGGACACACAAATATTTTGAAAATTTGCGTGTCGGACACGTGTCCGACACCGACACGCGTCCGACACGCGGTCAACATTTGGGGACACGCGGTCAACTCTCTGACACGTTCCGACACGTTTTTCCGACACGCAGTCAATTTTTTTCGACACGCGGTCAACGTTTGGACACACTTGGACACGCTCAGACACTTTTTTTTTAAATCTTAATTTTATTTTGTTAACTAAATATAAAAGAAATAATTTATAAATTGATTTTTTTCTATTATGAAATTTGACATGAAAAATTTACAAAGTATGAAAAATTATTTATATTTATATTTATGTTATGAAATTTAAATATTTGATTGGTTATATGACTTATTATGAACTCTTATATGTATTAAATATAAATTATATTATATATATTAAAAAATTTATTTAATATCAAAACGTGTCCCAACGTGGCCAAATATGACATTTTTTAAAATTAATGTGTCGTCGTGTCGTGTCGTGTCCCGTGTCCGTGTCTGTGCATCATTGTACCCCACCACCTTTTTCCTGCTCTTCTTCTTCTTCTTCTTCTTCTATTTTTGTGGAGCAATCTAGTTCATTTTCTCATGTTTTTCTCTAGCCAACCATACATGCCGTCTTTCACTGTCAATTTAGAATGGTGCATTCATAGTTCATTTAGTGTTCATTGCTGAAACACTTTTATTGGAATTGCTAATTGTTGGTTTTTAAAGTGATTATCGAGATGTACAATAGCTTGTTGTACTCTAGAGCAAATCGTGTTTGAACAAGATGGGTGAAGAAAACCCAGATCTCAAAATCTTTGTGTAGAAAACCTTATCCTGCTTGAAGAAAATAACGAAAGTAGGGTTATTTTTGTAAAATCACATCAGATTCCCAGTAATATTTTACAATTAACCAAACATAGACTTAGTAAATTTGACCCAATATTCCTGTTAAAATTTTGGCCTACTAAACAACTTTTTGGTCATATTCCCAGGAATCTCACTTTCCCACCACATTCCTAGGAATCATGATTCTCAGGCAAAAAAAATTTATCCTCTACCAAACGCCCTCCAAAAGTCAAGACCTGCCAAGACGTAGTCCAAGAGGGAACTGAGTAATGGGAAGTGGTCAATAAAGTCATACAACTGCTTAACCATTTAACAATTATGTGATCTAATCATCTAATTCTCCGATTGTGATTCCCCAGTTCCCTTTAGGTCCAACATTTTGGCTTGGCTTGACATTAAGTACAAGGAAAAATGAGAGGAAAAGTTGGTACTTTAAGCTTTAACTCAACCATCCTATACAACTTTCTTGCTTTTAGAATTTCTGGGTGAGTTTTAGTATGTGACATTCTTGAAACTTTGGCTTGTCAATTTAACTTTTTTTCCTACATTCTTTGATTGTGCTTCCTTTATTCATTTATACCATTTTCTACATGTTTGCTATTGATTTATGAAAAATACCTAGCTTGATATTTTATTTACGTGTCAAGTACTGTTGAAGCTTCTTTTGCTTGCTTAAGCACCTAGGTGAAGCAGGTTTGATAGAGGCCTATAATGCCTTACTGTGGCCTAGGTGGAATGCCTTTAACCTGTAGCTCTTAGGCAAGCCCCTAGGTTGAGGTGCCTTACTCTTGTGTTACTTGTTCCATGTCCAGTGTCACTGCTTTACTTATTTGTCCATGTCCTCTTATTATTTAAGTGCCTATTGGATTGTCAAGGTGTAGTTGCTGAGAAAGCTCTCTCTTTTTTTATTATTATTTGGGTCTTGCTTGCAGTGGCAGAGCTGGAAACCGTATTCAGAGGCGGCACGATTAGTATACACAATATTTAAAAATTTAGAATATACTATAATTTTTTGTTATTTGTGAATTATTCTAAATTCTTTCACTTTATTTTCTTACTTGTTGCATCCACTCTGATAAAAACTCTTTCTGTTTATTCAACATTCAAGTTCTAACAATCATTCTTGGGTACCTCACATCACAACTTAAGCTTTTAGAATGATAGATTTTGATTGATAAAAATATGTATCCACAAATTCTCCTGGTAAATTCTTTTCTTTCTATGGTATGTTTATTGAGTGAATATATGTAGGTTCGAAGATGTATACCAGAAAAGCCCTTCTCTGTTTGATTTCATCACCTTCTTTTTAGTGCTCATGGTATTCATATTTTCTGCTGCAGTTGGTGCCATCGCATTTTCCCTATCCAAGCTACCTGTGGTTTGAACGAAAAAGAACTACAAGATGTTGTATCAATGCTTGTTAAAAAATTCGTGGCTGCTAAACAGGACAAACTTGAACGACCTCTAAAGGTCCAATACAATATTACCTTTAAGTTTCAAATGAGTCATGCTTTTCATGAGTAAACAAACTTGTGTTGTATTTATCTGCCTGTTTCTTCTTAACATCCTTACTGGTTTCAACGTGTATGATGCCAAGTGAATTCAGCTGAGGTTTTGTTTTAATTATCAACCAGAACTTAAGCATTGTTTAAAACTTTCTCAACTTTGTAATTGAAAATTATTTTTTTGAAATGAAGATTTACAATTTTTTTAAATTTTTTTTCAAAAGTGGTTGAATTTACAAATATGAAATATAACTTACGGCATGATTTGTAACTGAAGTGATTTCTTAAACCAATTATCTAGTTCCAAATAACTTTCGGACAACAATTTATTTATAAATCAGTTGTTTATGTTAGAGATTTTCAGAGTTAAATTCCATTTAGGAAAATATCCTATGTTTGATGCTTGCTTGTATTCTTACATATAATTGACCTTGTAGTTTGCTGTTGGGTACAACCGAAGAGGAATTGAAGAGACAAAATTTGTAGAAGAAAATTTAAATGGTTCGAATGCATTTAATTTGCTGGACCGTAATAAATGCTTTGGCATAGTGGCTTCTGCAGTCAATCATGTTGTGGAAGATTCAGTAGTGGATCTCAGGTCTCCAGAGGTAAAGATGTTGTACTGCCTGAAAACAAATTATAGCTGTCGGTATTCACATTTATGCATACTCTGAGCATTGACACTGATACTGCAGCTCTCTGTTCTTGTTGAGTTGCTTCCCCTTTCTGGAGTACCTAATGGGTCGATGGTGGTTGCTGTCTCTGCCCTCCCCAGGAACCTTGTTAGTACAAAGCCTAAACTCTGTGTCAAGTCCATGACTTCCAATACTAAGGAAGGGTCTGTGGCTCAATGAGAAAGATTGGTGCTACTGTTTCACTTCAGCATGGTTTACTTTGCCAGGTTGCTTTTCCTGGAAATATCTGGTGGATTTCGTATGACCCTGGAAATGGAAATTGAAATGACCAAAGTGCAATCCCTACTAAACAAGATATTGTTCCAAGTAAAAGCTGTAGCCACTTCTGCTCTGATTCGCTCATTTATAATGTAGCTATCTTATTATTAAATGTAATTTGTGAAGTCAAGCAGAATGCGGTTTATATAAGTTGTTGAACTTTATCATGGGTTATGTTTATCTCATTTTACATGAGATAAACAACTCTCTTACACACACAAAAAGAAGTTGAATTTCATCACTCTTTTTTCTCTCTCCTCTTACCTGGGGTTCCACTTATACTTTTATTTCTATAACATAAAGTAATTTTCTTCTTACAACATAAGAAAAATATATCTCCTTTATTATTCATCCGTACATTTTTTTGTTTGAAGGGTATTACATAAATTTTAAGATATATTGCTGACACAAGAAATACTTGGGATTAATTTTAATTTACATGATATGCATGATGTATATTTCCAATTTAATGGTCTATTTTGTGAAATTATCATTCTGTCAATCAAGATAATTATTCATTGAAGACTTTCTTTGAAATGAGTTTATTTTAAAGTAAAAATGTATGATCATTGATTTAATTTAAAGTGCTGAGTCATTTTAATCTATTAAAATTTAGAAGTGGACACTTTTTTACTTGTTTATTTTTAGATAAAGTTGCTTTAGAAGAATTTTATACTTGTTATATAACTGATACAGTGTGTCTAAATGTTTATAAACTCAACTTTTTCTCTAGCAAATAATAGGTGGTTTTTTTATATAAGCCATTTCAACAAATAAATTTACCGTGGCAGTCGAGTCAGTTGAACTTTGACTGATTAATCTTCAGATAGTGAAGAGGGAGACGAGAAAGACATTTCATATATATGCTTCATGATAAGATGTAAAGACAATAATGTGGTAAATAATCTTGATGACCTTAACTCACCTTATGATAAAGTACATGTTAATATTTGATCAAATACTAGAATATTCACATCCAAAAATCTCGGTTTTTAAAGCAAAGTATGGCAATGTTCTAGTTCTACTTGAAAAAGGAAATTAGGTAGTTTAATAAATATTTTTATTCTGAAAATTTTGGGAATAAATCCACATTTAAAATTTCACCATGATCTAATTAAGTGAAATTTTTTTATTTATCTCTCTCTTCACATGTGTTAAACAGGTGAGATCCAATTATCATTAATGAAAAGAAAGATAGACACGGAAATTTCACATAATTAAATTATGTGAAATTTTAACATAAAAAAATACTCCAGAAATATTTACTGCAAGCTGCGCCAACCACAAAAGTTGGTTGTAGCTGGCATTTGTATCAATTCTTGTTTTGACGTGAGCTCTTCTTGTACGTACTTTCATAAAACAAAATGACAAATATCATTTACGGAATTAGACCAGCACTAAATGAAAAGAGAAACCTAACCTACCAAAACCAATGTATCATCAATCGATCTAGGGGGTAGCACTTCAAAGGCATCTCTAGCGGTTTATCAGTTTCCAAAACAAATAGCTTCTTCTTTTCATTTATAACGTTCTCCCAAAGCCTGCACTGCACTGCACTGCTCAATTTTGCTGCTGACAACCGTGGAACCAAATCAAGCAAACAATTAGTATAACGGTCTCCATGGCTCCCTTACTTAATTTTGGCCAATAAAATATCCCGAGAGACCACACTCTACATTAGAAGAAACTAGAAGGGACAGGTCACGTAAGTTTACCAGAAATTTTGTGATAGGTTGCTTCAAACCTATAGGGAGCATAAAATCATGCCTCAAGACAGTGATCTCCAAAGATGGTGTTGCTACTATCAGGTCGGCTTGTTGCAAAGCTTATGATCAGATAATTTAATTATCAATTTCTCATCCAACCACCATGAAAATCTCATGAATCATTTTATGCATTGGAAAAATAAAAATAAAAAATTACCCCAACCAATTCTATCAAAAGCTTAAATTATTAGATAAACGCGTCTTATATTATATTTCTAACCACGGTCAAAACTTTATATTATATCGCCAATATGCTCCTTCATAAATCATAAGTGTCTTTTGAGCTTGAACATAGACAATGCATGAGTTCATTTACCTTGTGCAGCAGTTAAGGATCAAACTCTAGAATATACTTGTTCTTAAATTTTTGTTCTTATTAAACTATTAGATGAAGGTTCTATATATAATATATCATGAATTATTACCTGTATATTATATCTCTAATAATTAGGATATGGAGTTAAGTCAAAAGCTGAGTTGGTTCTACACTAGACTCCACTTATGTAGTATACTAGTATTCATGCATGTCTGACGTTTAATTATTAGGTCCATCACAGGAAGTTAACTAACAAGATAATGGTAACTTGGTAAGAGTACATTGAAACGAATTTAACTTAATTTCGCATGTCTCCGTTCATCCTCAGAAATAAATGCGTTCGTTATAAGAAAAAATAAAAGAAAAACAGTGCTACTTTTCTTGAATAGTTTCTCAGATTCACGAGAGTATTGGTATTATGGGAGTACCGAACTCCTACATTCTTTTACTAAAACTGATTTTTTTTTTTTTTCATTTTAACTTATATTTTTTTTAAGTCCCAAAAACTTTCCCTTTTTAATATGGATGTAGTTTCTCATGAAATTACAGAAATTTATTTAATATTACAAAAAATACCGAAGTCGGTATTCCCTTTTACTAAAAGGGATTTTTTATTTATTTTAACCCATATTTTTTTATAAATTTTTTAAATCCCAAAATCATTTCCCTTTTAATAGGGATATACATAGGCAAAAAATTAATTAATAACAATTTAAATAAAAAATTATGAATTTATTGCTGTTTTGAAACTATTTAGGCGTGTATTGCAGTGTGTTACGCTATGATTGGGCGTGATCCACGAGGTACTCATACCTAAATTAGGCGTCACTCGTCTGGTGTTTAGACGTGGCACAAAAAGTTAAGAGTTCACAAAAAAAATTAATTGTCATTTAAATAAAAAATTACGAATTTATTGCTGTTTTGAAACTATTTACGCATGTACTGCAGTATGTCACGCCGATAGGCGTCTCTCACGAGACACTCACGCCTAATTTAAGTGTGACTCTTCCGGTGCTGACACGTGTCACAAAAAATTAACAATTTAACGTAAAACTTTGGAAGACCATAACTTTTGATTCTTGTATCCAATTCCGGTAAAAAAAAATTTGATTTCACATAACTTTTCGAGATCTACTAATGACACCTCATGTGGAATATTTTATCTCATAAACACAGTTCGAATTTGCAATAATGATACTGTAAGAGCATTTAAACCCAGAAGACTCCGAGTTATTTTCGAACCAACACCAAACGCAATTTTCTTTTTAAAAAGAGTAAATACATTTTTTCGTCCTCAATAAAAAACACAAGGTCAATTTTAATCCCTTAAAAAAAGTCAACTTGTGGTCCCTCAGAAATTCAAAAAAGACTCATGTAATTTTTTTGGCTTGAAAGTCCGAAGCAGGTATTTTTTTATTCCACATAACTTTTCGATATCTACGCACTGAAATTTTTTTAGAGAATTATTTCTTAATGCTGGGAAGTAAAAATTTAAATAACATCATTCACAAAGATGAAATATGCCAAAGGGGCATCCAATTGCGGGCTTTTCATGAGACTCATAGATTCTTCTAGTAGACTTTATGCTCTAAAACATGCTTTGATAAGAGGATTTGAGATGATATATATATATATATATATATATATATATATATATATATATATATATTGTCAAAATGCATTCTTCGGCATCTATAATAGTATAATTCACCTCAAACCCTTTTATCAAAGCATGTTTCACATCATAAGAACATATATTTTTAATGCAATATATCAAAAGTTTTGCATTTTTTAATGCAACTTAAATAACATTATATTCTCACGAATCTCTCTCACACTTTTATATCGTGGCACTTTCTTTTCTCACAATATTATATTTTTTTTCAAACACTGGTAGAATGTATATATTTTACTATGATATTAAATATTCTTTTTTATAGATGGACTAATCCACTTTGGTGCCATCATTAATTTCAGACCACAACTTACAAGATAAAGTCTCATTGTTGCAAATTCAAACTGTGTTTGTGAGATAAAAATATGCCAAATGAGATGTCATTGCGTAGATCTCAAAATTTTATGTGTAATCAAAAAAAGAATTACCTAATTTGGATACCCGAGTCAACAGTTATAGCCTTAAGAAGTTTTACGATTAAACTGTTAATTTTTTGTAAAACGTGTCAACACCAGACGAGTCAAGCCTAAATTAGGTGTGGGTGCGGGGGGCGCCTAACTTAGACGTGACTGATGATGTCCAATCCGGGCATAACACACTGCTATACACGCGTAAATAATTTCAAAAGTATTAAATTTGTAATTTTTTAATTCAATTACAATTAATTAAATTTTTTTGTCGATATACCTACATCTGGTGCACCAAACGTTTTCTCTAAATTCACGAACGTTAAAATGTATTTTGTTAAAAAGGCTTTGTTGATAGATAGCTGATCCCTTAAATATGTTAACAAGTGTTTGATTTCCGGTGATGTGTATGAAAAATATTTTATTAGTAGAGATAAAACCCACTTCAATAATCTTTACGCATTAAGGAGATTAGTTTTTAACTATCGGCCCCGAAAAAATCTTAATTATACTCATAAGAAAAAGATATCTCGTTAAAAAATAAATGACAAAACGGCATGCGTTTGTGAGCATTATCCAAAAAATAAATTAATTAATTAATTAATCCAACAATATTTAGAGTAAAATACCCAAAATCCTTCATCTTTTAATTTTCTTCTTGTTTTGCAACATAAATAAGTCATTAATTTAATTTATAATCAAACCTCTTTAAAATTTACATATTCATTTTACTCATAATTTAGATTTCTTAAATTTTTAAAGAAGTATTTACTAATTTTTTTTTCTAAAAAATTACTTTATTATTATGAAAATATATTAGTGAAAATCCCAACACTAACGCAACTTCATCAAGCATATTACCCAACCCATACCCCAATTTAGAAATTACATAAAAAAATTCATATTTAAACCAACGTGTTAAAATACGGAACAATGCCGTACTTAAAATTATAATCCAAACATATACTTCGATAAGCAAATTATAACAATTTTGTTACTGATCCAATAGATAGTGCCTTCCGCATACTAATCATCTCTTAAAAGATCTAGATAACACTGAAACTGGATTATAAATTAATTAAAATGCTGATTGAAAAGGTACCCAATAGAAACAAGTAACATCACCAAAATTGTAAACTAGATTATGCCTAAAGTAGATGATTTTACAATGAGCATCAAATCAATTGCCACATAAGGCTAAAGATAGGTCTAAATTAATTCTATCTTTGACAGCGGAAGAACTAAAGCAGTCTTTGTAATTGTTAAACCCAAGGCAAGATGAGATTGCCTCACTGATCTCACTGGCCGAAGAAGCATTACTTCTCTGAGGGGAAGGATTCGGCAATGTGAGTGACAATGACAACTCACACCCTCCTACATGTTCAACTTCTGCACGTGCCGACTCAGCGTTCCCAACCACATTAATTATCTGCGAAGTGGTTCTACCATTTAATTTAGTAACCTGTCAAGGGGTGGAAACACCCATAAGAAATGGTAACGTGTATGTATCCGCAAAAAATTATCATTCAAGAAAGAATCATTTAGAACTAGAGTGATCCAACATATGGTGACTATTCCTAATAAATATACTCGATGGCAAAAATAATGAAAAGCAAGTAAGCCTAATTGGCTTTTTTAACACACGCTGATTTCTACCAGATAGACAGATAGACAAACATGAGAGGATGTAACAAAATTAAATCAACATTTTTTCAATAACAAAGGAATTTACCAAACTCATTTGGCACATGTGGTAAAGAGCCTGACCCCTTCATCCGATCTTTGAAAATGAAAAAAAAAAAAATTTGAGAGAGCCACTCTTTGAAGGATCCAACAATGCTTGATGGAAGATTTATTTTCGAGTTAACGGAGAAGGATACCTTTGAGATTACTCAAAAAAAAAAAAAAAAAAACAAACAAACAAACCGAAACCGAAACCTCACAATTTAATAGAGGGTGTACTTTTTCATTTTGGTTTTGTGGTGCGGGAAGGACTAGAGGTAAATCCATTACTAAAAGGCCCTGTAACTACAAAAGATGTATTGACCGTATAAATGCAATAAAGGATATAAATTTCCATTTTAGAAGTCAAAATTTCAATAAATTTGGCAGGACCACTGAATGTTAAAAACTGAGAAATAAAAGGGTACAAAATAGAAACCATGATGACCATTTCGACCACAATGCAGCGCATGATAAATTTTGGACAATCACAAGTTCCCACTATAATACTTAAGTCGTACACGGGGACCAAAACAATCTAACCACTTCACAAGGCGATTAAATGTTACAAAAAATAGTATATTCAAGTTCACAACTTCACATTTTCTCAATTTAGCGAAGTCCATTTTGAATACAAGAATCGTTTTCAAAAAACCCAACTTTTGAGAGAATAAAATGGAAAAAATACTCGGAATAATATTTTAACAACTGTAGAACCAAGGAGTCCCACAGCCATTACATTCCAGAAAAAGAGAGAAAGAAATAATTTCAAGGCATAACAAGTACTACCAAAAGGGTTTCTAGTCTGAACCTGTCAATAAGTTAGCAGTGTAAGGATTTTTATTTAAAAGAAAGAAAGAAAGAACAGGTAGGTGAGAAACCAACGGTTTCCCATTTAACACACGGGACCTGATCCCAAAAGCCGTAGATATTTGACAGGAAAAACTTAAGATCTTACTGAACAAAAGTGGAGTGTTTAGAACTTATAGATTGTGTATCTCGCATGGCAGTGAAATAAAACTCATATCCAACCTTACACTCCACCCCAGCACAAAAAAAAGCTAATAGGATAAAGTACCAGAAGAGAGAGAGAAGAAAGATTGTTTTAGCATCGTATGGGGCACCTGGAGGAAATCAGATTCTTGCTTTTGACATTTGAATGAACTAAGGTTGCAAAAATCAGGTAGCAGATGGAATGGTGTGGAATGGGGTTGTGTCTGCCGTCTTGAACCACCACAAACCTCCTTTATTCCCTTCTGCTCCTCTTCAGCCATATAATCATAAAAGCAGTACGGATTTGGAACTCTTTGGCTGCATTGCAGGCTCTCACTCGTCCTCTCGATTCTTGCTCTGAGGAGAATCCATACGAAAAGGAATTTCAAAAGAAGCAAAAAAGTTAAAGTTGGTTCAGAAAAGTAAAAGATCAAGCAATTAACAACCCTTTTTTTGTTATACATCACTGTTTTCAACGTTTGAAAAGTCTGAAATTATTTCAAGGGAAAAAATAAAGCTTATCTAACCTTTTAGGGGAGAAATCACTGTAGCCCAATAAGGAATCAGATTCTCTTCGAGTGAGTTTTGAACAAGAGTATTGAACACCAACATCATTCACTTCATCAACACACCCATCATCGTGTTCCTCAAAAGATTGGTTTCTATGTTGGGAGGATGTCCTTCCTGAAAAAACATTTACCAACACAATGAGGAAAAAAAATTACTTGGTGAGAGCAATTAAAATTATTAGATAGGTACAACGCATTAACAGCGTTTTGATTTGAACACAACTCAATGACGAACTTCGTTGTAGATTTAGAAAACATAAAAGTTGTGAATTTCATAAAAAATACTAATAGAAGAAGATTCAAAAGGACATTAGCTTCTTATTCTTCCTGCACTATTATGGCATCAACTAAAAGCAGAAAAGACTAATAAATGAACAATGCTGTCTCAGATTTTCCAAATTTATGCATAAATGCGAGCTCATAGACTTTGTTTTCAAACGTCAAATAAATACCAAGAGAAGAAACAAAGATAGACTGAGTCAGTCTTCAATGCACAAAGCATCTAAAATTTCCACGTACGACATGGATGACAGATAAATATGACTTCTCCACAAAGAGAAATGAGAAGGAAGGAGCGAGCGAGCGAGCATTGAATAGCCATGATCATCATCAAGGACAAAAAGAACTCCTTATTTACGTGCTTTGCAAAAAAGAAGGTCATAAGAGAAGGCTCAGTACCTTGTCTTCCCAAGTCACCTCTCATGCTTCTGTACATCTGGTTTGAATAAAGAGAGAAACCCAATAAACAACATAGAATAAGAAACTTGAGCATCATGAATTTTAAGCCTAGCTAGCAAAACACATTATATACAGAGGAAGAGAGAAAAGGAATATAATAGCAACCTGAAGATGGCTCTTGACGTGTGAAATTGTGAGCCCTTTGACATCCATCAACTGAAGAACAAGCTTAGGGGTAGCCTCTGCAAATGAAAACAGGAAAATCTGTATGAGAAGTTCATGATCCAGAAATCAACACCAGTAAGAAACCAAAAAGTAAGAAAAATATTGTAAGAAAATGAGCCAGCTGGGTGGACTTACTGTGATGACCTCCAAGATTCTCAATGGCATGAACAAAGCAACGGTGCAGGTCAGGGGTCCATCTTAAACGAGGAACCTTCGATCTTATATATTGCCTCACCGCTCCTTCTCTTCCACAGCTATTCATTTTCTCTCTTTAACAAATACCCAAACACTGTCTAGAGTCAAAAAGATCTTCACTTTCCAACCTCTTCGTCCTCCCAAAATTAATCCCCTTAAAAACTATAGTTTCTTTCCAACCTCTTCTCTCTTATATATGCAGTAGAGAAAAGCAGAAACCTTTATGCTCCCTAGCTACGCAAACAGAAAGCAGCAGGTGGGAGCAAAAGAGAGAGTGAGAGAGGGAAGGAATATTATCACGAGAGAAAATGAAAAGACGAAGAAGATATGGGTTGGGTTGGGTTGGGTACTGGGTAGGGTAGGGAGGCTCTGCAAATTCCTTAGGACTTTGGAATCACTGATAATACCTGATGGTGGTTGCTGTACCTTATAAGAGTTGCCAATATATGAAGAATGGAATAAACAAAATTAAAGAAGGAGGAGGAAGTAACACAAAAATTAAATTGAAATCACAAAAAGCAGAAAACAAAAACACTTTTTCTCAGATAAAAATCACGAGGAGGCTTCTGATCTTGTTTGCACTGACCTTCCACGAAATGATTACACCTATGCCAATATAATGCGTACTGTCACGGTGTTACAATTACTCAACTGCCTCGGTTTGACCTTTGTTTCTCTCTCTCTCTCTCACTCTCTTTTTCTCTCTCTCTCTACAAAGACTTATTCATTAGGGTATGACTACTGCTACATACGCCAACGTCGTCATGATCACTATGTATGACCCCATGAAATTACTTTTCTGATTTTCTTTTAATATAATATATTATTAATAATGTGAATAATGTGTGAATATGATATCATTCTTGCAAAAGGTCGTTCTTTTTCGATGACTGATTTACCCTTAATATAATGTTGAAAGACGTTGCTACCCTTTCCGTAAGTTACACATTGTTTCCCGCTCTAATCAAACTTAGGTTACCTGTGCGTCAAGCTATATCCTCTTTGTGGTTCCATTTGGACGTGCATGGGAAGTTGTACAAAGAATATTATTACTTTTCTTACATTGTTTATATTTTCGACCCTCAAAATTTTGTTATTCTTTTTTGTCGTAAAATAGTTAACTTTACATTTATCAATCTTACTTTAAATTATTCACCGCGAAGAGCTTTTATTCGGCTAGTAGTTAAAATTTTTATTTATTATTATGTTTTTATAAAAAAAATTATCAAAATATTTTTACATTTTTATGATTTTATAATTTTTTATTTCTTTTCATTTTTACATAAAATCTCATTTTAACTACTTGTTATTTCATGTTCTTATTAGCCGAGAGTTAAAGATAAATTTTCAGAGTGTGTTTGGACACACAAGAGTCTCAACATCATTTTGCCTTTGCAAAATAATTAATAAAAAATAATTATCTCATATAACATGAGATAAATAAATTCTATAATTAATATTTTATTTTAATATTTTTGGGACCCAAATATGTTTTTTTACAAGAGAGAGAATGTCGTTTTTTTAATCATAACACGTTACATCTCAATGAAAATTTACATAATTATTTTCTGTTAAATTATTAACAAAAATTATACTTTAAACTTATTATCTACTGTGTGTCAACTGATAAGCGATAATTGTAAAAAAAAATATATATACATATAATTGATGAGTAATTAAATCGGTCAAGATTAAAGATTATAGGGAAAAGGCGCCATTTGTTCAAAAGAAAAGATAAAGCATTTTTAAACATATAGATTCTAAGGAGGAATATTGCATCACATCTGTTTGTACTAAAAGAGGCGAAAAACTAAAAATGCATTACGAGTTCCTGACTAGACATTTCAGTTAAAGTCCTAGAGAATACCTTTCTTGTCAATTGGAAAAAAAAAAGGAAAAGGAAAAGGAAAAACGCCAAGTCAAACACACATGCAAAAGCAGAAGTATGAGGAGGAGGAATATCAACCAAAGTCTCATTTTATCAATTTTTTTATTCAAATGTGAGGTAAATAGTATTTTTTATCAATCCGGGGGCCATGTGACATAATTCGTTACGATTAGTAGTGAATTATGTTTGTCAATAATTTTGTGGCATATGTAACATATTTTCTCAAAAAAAAAAAACTGACCGGACAAAATTTGTTATTAGTAATAGCAAATTTGGTATGCAATGTGACCACGTGTCGTAAAATTATTGATGAACATAATTCGCTATCAATCATAGCAAATTATGTCGAGTGACAATATAATTAAAAATACTATTTACATGATATTTGAATAAAAAATTTATTAAACAATGACACTTTAATCATTATTCTCATTTAGCAAGCGATTAACACGAGTCAATCAAGAAAAAAGAGAAAAAAAATAATTAGAACAAATGCCAAACCAGCAAAATTAGTAAGGTGAAAATGGGGTATCAAATTTCCCATCCCAAGTCGACACCAATATATCAAATCCCTGGCACCTAGAAATTACCCCATGAGAAATCAACGGCTGGGATCGTTGGAAGGATCTCTACGTCAACCTGATGAATTCCGTATGTGGAATTTCAACTCTGAACTATTGTCAATCTACCATCTTTCAACAGCTGGGGTGTGCCATCAAAATCAATCAATCAAGTTTATTTATTATTTTCTATATATTTTTTATATACTATCATTCATAATAATATCATAATAATAACTATAAAGCTATTTAATAATCAATTATAAAACTTACAAATTTGAATAAATAAGATATTTTTTACATTAAAGTTTTGTCCTAACTCACGAGAAGCTCCGAAACCAAAACGCCGATTATTCTTTTACGCCACGAAAGAGAGTTGCCATCATTTTAATGATATTTCAGTTGTGTTACAAAATAATGCACACGTCTTTATTTAAATAATTTCAACCCATTTGCAACTAAGTATATTACGATGCTTGCCAAATAGTGATAGTTCAGTTAGCGCATGGGAGCTGAGCAGGTGGAGGTGAGGGTATGTGTTCGAATTTTTCCAGTACCACCTTTGGGAAGAGTTTAAAGCCTTAATCCTGGACCCGTCCTGAATCGGACTAATCGCGAAGCGATGAACCGATGGAATATTAAAAAAAAAAAAAAAGTATATTACGATGCCTATTACTCAAGTTATAACCGAAACGATAACTCTGTTCGTGACAACATGCAGAAAATCTCCTCTTTTAATGACTTTTATCCTCTCCAAGTTCAGATAATAACGTCTCATCTCCTGGTTATTTAAAAAGTGCATCTTAAGCTTGTTGAGTGACTAGGTCTTGGAGTTGGTCCTTTACTTCAAGGAACCATCAAATTATTTGATGCACAAACACCTGAGGCTTTAATTGAATTATCTCACATCAATTATCCTCTAATATGTGTGTTAGGCGTGTCGCATCGCCCACACTTGTGGTGCCACCTCTACAATAATATTAATTTTATATATTCACAGGATGTGATGTGTTAAAAGCGGGGCATAGTGGATGAATAAAGCTTAAGATTTATGGATAGCCAATGGGACCAATATGTGACATATATGGACATAGGAGTATATCCTTATTGGTATGAAGTACCGCGATAGGGGAAATAAGTCAAACAACCTTAGTAGTATACTCTATTAAATCGCTTTTGATATGAATTAATATGTTAGGTTACCCTAGTAATATGCTAGTTGTTGTTGGTTGTTTGTTTCGTGGAGATATTTTTGTAGTGTTGTTTTGGTTTATTATGTAAAAAGTTATCATATAATAAATATGGAAAAAAAAATTGTGTCAGAGAAGATAAAATAAAACAATTTCCTACAATTTTAAAATGATATTATTTCGGCATTTAGAAAAAAGTGCAGGTATTTTAAAAAATTTACTCTCCTTTTATATAATTAATTTTATTAAAATATCTTGTATTTTTTTTTTCAAATCCCAAAATACTTCATTTTAAGTTGTAGTAAATAATTTTATTTCTTGTTATAAGAGAGATGTTAATCCTAACAAATATATGAAAAAATACTTTTCTATCGTAACAAATAAAATTATATCTGGTAACTTAAAATAATATTATTTTAATATTTGACAAAAAAATACAAAATATTTTAAAATTTTCGATTCTCTTTTATAATATGAATTTTTTAAAAATATGATATTTAGAAAAGTTTTAAATTCTATTCATAAAAAAATAAATAATAAAAAAAGTTTTCATTTTTATAAAAAATGTTATTTTTATAATTAACTTGACCACTTAATTTGACACGTATCCCTAAGTATATTAGATGTACAAAAAACACTGTGGAAAAAGAATGAGGAATAGTGGTACGGCATTTTTGCCTCATAAATGGGATATTTATTTTGGGTACTCAGCTAGCTGACCATTTATAACAGAGGAAAGAAACAAAATGGTAATCTCAGCTAATCAGAAGGAATTGTTCTAAAAGATGCCAGAAACTGCAGACTTGTGGGTGGAGGTGGAGGGCATGGTATGGTGTTATAAGGCAAAGGCAAAAGGAATAGAGAGAAGAAGCCTCAGCTTCTATCTCTTTCTCCTTTCCCTATCTCTCTCTCTCTCTCCCATCTGAATGTGTCAGCATGATAATGATGGAAATGGCAGAAGGTAAAGGAAGGGAATGCTGAAAATTCCTGCACAAATGGAATGATGGGTTACGAAACAGTCCAAAAACATTAAATTTAATACAACTATTACCACTGTTCTCATCTGATACGGTGCATGAATTGCAACTTTGTAATTTGCAGTGCCTACAGTAGCCAACATTATTTGTTTTTTTTTTTTTTTTTAATCTTTTCAACACTTAGGTAAAAACTGTGCACTGTGGAAAACAACAGAGCGGAGAGTGGGGTGGCTTCGAGGCCGCCGGTACCTTTGGCGTGAGCAGGCAAACGGTAATGTGCCTTGGAATATGTGCTCCTTTCGTCCTCCCTTTTTCTTTCTCTGTGTTAAGAGAATGAAATTAATTCAAACAAGGAAAAAATAGAATAAACATTTTATTCCATAACAAAAAATACGATTTTCATTTTAATTTTTTATAAAAAAATTACTCTTGAGATATTTAAGAAATTTAAAATGGACATATTTAATTAAAATTGTGATTTCTTATAAATTTAAAAAAAAATCTACATTAGTTCCTTAAAAAGACTAAACTGGATCTACTTTGAAATTCATAAAGAGCAGACTATTAATTTTTTTTTTGTAAGAGACTAAAATAAAAATTGTATTTTTTTGTTAGGAAACCAAAAAAGTATTTACTAAAAAAAATAAAAGAGAATCTAATATAACTTTATGGGCAAATAGTTTTTACAGCGGAATCAAAAATTATTTTTGTGATCACAAATATAAAATAAGAGGGGGCTCTATTTTATTTTTTTCTTTCTTTTTTTATGATTTTTTTCACTTAAATACTTTGTATGATTTTTGACTTAGCTGCAGAAATCATTTGCCCTAACTTTATATATTAAAGTGAATAAACTATATAAATTTGTCATCTTTTAAAAAATTCATTATAATTTTCTCTAGTGAAATTATTTAGAATTGCAAACAATTTCTTGAAAGTAATTTTACTTGCATAAACAAAATTTTGTATATTTCTCTACCAAAAAATAATTAT